GGGGGGGGGGGGGGGGGGGGGGGGTTGTTTCAGTGTGCTGATACAGAGAGATCGGTGAGATTTATATATATTCTTGATCATTTGGCAATAAAAAAAAAAAAAAAAAAAAAAAAGGGAGGGGTAGGTAGTGTTGACAATTTTTGACAAAAATACGAAATTAATTAATAGGTCGGACACGAAATTAAACAAGTTAATGGGTTAAAATTGATCAACACGTTTAAATACGAAAAAAATCATATCGTGTTTATGTCAAAATTAGGTCAACCCGATTTTGATCTGATTAATTTGTATATTTTAAAGCGGATTGACATGATACGGGCACGAACTCAACTTAATTTATTGTAGAACCGTTTAACTCATTTATGACAATATGATTTGCCTATTATATATAACTAATGTGGTCTTAATATTATTATTTATTAGTTCTTACATTTACTATGATAATTGACAGTATAATTTTTAACATTATTATGACAGTATACTAATATAATTCTTGTTTTAATTTTTTAGTTAAGACTTGATTGCATTTTAGTTAATTTTATTGATAAAATATGATATGTTATTTGTAAAAAAATTATTTAAAATTTTGGATGAAAGATTGAATAGTGTATTTAATGGTAATAAACATGTGTGGAAATAAGTTGTGTGTTAAACCAAAAAAGACTAAAAAGTCATTTATTACTTCATTACTCTATCTTCTCTATTTTCTCTCTATCTATTTTTCTCTCTCTCTTTCTCGTATTGACAATTTTTTTTTTTAAAGATGTAGAGATTTAATTTAATTTTTTCATCTCTTTCTCTCCTATTTTTTTTTCTCTCTCTCATTTCCTCTCATTTTATTTCTTTATTCTCTCTCCTTGTATCAAAATTACAACAATATAATTATACTAATCATTTACACCAATAATTATACTATAATACATCAAAATAATTACTCATGTGTTCTAATAAATAAAACAATTATACAAAATTACAACACCAATTCAATTTATCATGCAATTATTTATATAAAATCAAAGAGTACACTATTTAGTATCACGATATGGTTATAACATTTATATACACTAAATTGGGTTTATCATTACACAAAGACTTTATCACTATACTAAATTTTGGTACATATAACTGATGTAACGATGTCACGATGCTAAATGACGCAACAATTTAGTTTATGTAAAAAAATGAATAATAAATTGGGTTGAAATCATAATTTTGTTTAATTATTTGATGTAACTGTTTAATTTATTAAAATGCGTGAGTAAGTATTTTGCGTATTATATGACAATTGTAATTGATTAGTGTAATTGTATTATTGTAATGTTAATATAAATAAAGAGAAATAAAAAATAGGGAGAGAGAAAGAGAAACAGTTAGAAAATACGTGGGAGAAAGAGAAAATACAGGGACAGAAATAAAAAAATTAATTAAATTTTTACATATTTAAAAAAAAATAATTATTAATGATAGATAGAGAGATAAAATAGGGAAGAGATGAGGAAAGTAACGGAGAGAGAGAGATTGAGAGAAAATAGGGGAAAGATAGTAAAAGAGTCTAATAAAATCATTACATATTTGATTAGATATATAACTGATAACTGTCAATCAAGAACGCATAATTTAAGAAAAGGTATTTATGTAAAAATAATTTGATTTTATTTAAATTTTGTGGCTAAACATAATATATTTTATTAAAATTAAACTTAATAGAATAAATAAATTATTCATATATTTTTCGCCAAATAAATCTAAAAAGTTATAACATTTCAACTGAAGGTCAAAACTGTAACAAACAAGGGCAAGCGGAAATAGCCCAACCAAATTTCAGATGGGCTGCAACATTTCAACCATCAAGGTCATAAGGACTTTCGCATGTTATAATTTTGGGTCATTTCTCGTAAGTTACAGTTGGCAACAGGCCATCTAGGACTTGTGGCATTCCTTCTTCTTCTTTTTTTCCTTTTTTTTTTTTTTGGGCGGAGGGGTAGGTGGTTGGTTTTAGGAACCTAGGTCCGTTTGGTTAAAAAAAAAAAAAAAAAAAAAAAAGGATAAAAAGTGAAAATAATAGAAATTGATAAAAAAAATATATTTTTATGTATGCATTTGATTAAAATGAAAAATTACCTTAATTATATTAAATCGGTCTAAACAAAATATGTAATTATAATTGAAAGTTAAAAATTTGTAAAAAATTGACACGAAACCTAATTGTAGTGACAACACAAAAGTATTTGGACCAAATTATATGATTAATCAAATTCATACAAAATTTTTTTTAAATTAATAACAAATAAAATATTTTAAGGAAAATAAAGTAAAATAGGAAGTTAGTCATAGATCACAACTTTCTTGCATTTCCTTGTGTTTTTGTAAGAAAAAAAGTTGATTATTTGTGAGAAAATTCAAGTATGAAAAAAAATTATTTTTTCAATTTTTTTTTTTTTCATTCTAACCAAAATAAATGAAAATTTTTAAATTTTTTCTTTCTTGCATTTTCTATCATTCTCCCGCTAAATAAACAAACTCTTAGCATTTTTTTTATTAAATAAAAAAGAGGTGGGGGTAAAGGAGAACGTTTAAAAATTATCTCAATAGATCCTTACTAGTGGAATCACAACACTCCTGACTGCATCTGTAACTCAACTCGAAAACAAACTTAGCTAGGTTAGCATAGTGGTCAACAATGTTAATATGGAGTTCAAAACTCGAACTTCTAACCCCAAAGGGGAGAAATTCAACCGATACTCTATTAAATCACCCCACTCAACGGTGAACCCTAGCATCTTAAAAGGGAAAAGGAAAATTCTTATTTGTTTTCCCTCCTTTGTCGGGGAATCTTACATAAAAAGAGAACCCGTAACTTTATCCTTTTATTTTTTTCTTTCCTTTCACTTTATATATATTTTTCTTTTTATCCAAACACTTTTAAATCCGACACATTCAATTGTGTGGTGGTAGATCACGTATTAAGTCAGAAAATCATAAGAATTGAAATAAGCAGAAAGGGCGAGTGTTTTTGAAATAATCAGAAGAAAATTCTCTACTCTAGATATTGAGTTTGATTCTGTATGACTTATTCATATGATTTACCAATTATCCTTATAGTGATAATTTGAATTTGGGATGGATGTTTTAAGATAGTTTTTCAACCATACTGGCAAAATATCACAATTTTAAATTTATTTAATTAATTATCATTAATTATATAGAATCGTATCTCTAAAATATGCTTGTGGTGTAAAAGAAATATATTTTAATAAATACGTTTAAAATTAGTATATTTTGATAATAAAAAAAATTGCCAAAAGAGTGTAAAAGAAAAAGAAAGGGTAAGAAAGTCAAACCAATTAAGCTTAAGGGTGTAATGTAACTGACAAATTCTCTGCGGTTCACTGACAAGATTCGAACTCGAATCGCCAAAAATAAAAACTCTCTCTCTCTCTTTCTCCTATAAATAAAAAGTGAATAAAAAGGTTAAGCAAAATCAATTATAAAGCACACACTCCTTCACAGTGACCGTCCAGATCGGGTCTAGGGTTCCCCTTCTCTCCCCCGAAACTTTTCAGTATTGTTTCGTTTATAAATCAAACCCTAGAAAAGAGCGAAACCTTCCCAGGCATCGTTTGTTCTTCGCAGGTACATAACTCCAATCTTAATTTTATTATTATCATTCAATTGTGTGTGTGAAATACTATCAATTTGTGCTGTTAATTCCATTAATAGGTTTTTGTTTTTTAAAAAAAATTGTGTTGGTGTTGAAATCAAGGGTGATTGTGGAGAGGAATATTTTTGGTTGGCGGGATTTGTGGTTGATCGAAGGGTCTGAATTACGTGAGACCAAATTGGGAGCTGCAAATGCCGGAGGAAGACTTGGTTGAGCTAAAATTCCGATTGTATGATGGATCCGACATCGGTCCCTTTCGATACTCGCCGGCCGCGACTGTGGCCGTGCTCAAGGAGAGAATTGTTGCTGAGTGGCCTAAAGGTTAGCAGTTTCTTTAACACCCCTTCGTAGTCTATGAAGAGATAATTCGCTAAGTTTGTTATGATATCTGAAAATTCTCGTTGACGATATCCAATTTGGATATCAAAATTATATGTGGTGACTTTTGAATTCCGACCGGCAAACTCATGGATAACTTTTTAGGTTAGTTTGTAATTGTTATTGAGGAACCTGTTTCAATTCTTGATGTGAAGAATGCATAAGCATTACACTAATAACTAATTGCAACTCCACCTTGTTTATGAGGCAGGGTCTCACCATAACTTACTGGTAATCTAGGAATTCATATTCCAGAAAACGTACCTCTTAAATTGAAATAGTATGACTTGGACTCGTCAAGAAAGTTTCTGATGTTATGTCCCTTGGCGACTCAATTTTAACTAGTACTTCCCATTGGGAGGACGCTCGCAAATAATGCCTTGGTTTACTGGTAGTTTCCTTGGTTGCTTCTTATCATCATTTATTGAGTTGCATTATGGAGAAAGGGAAAAATAATTTAGTTGAGAAACTATTTCCACTAAAATGTGCACTTTAATCCAGCTTGGTTATGGTGAGGCATGGTCCATTGGCATTTGTCATCATGTGCGTACTTGATGAGTGCAACGTATGAAAGGATAATCATCAGAAAATTGCTTTTATTTTATTTTTATTGTCATGTGCACATGTGTTTTAAGTATTGACATGTCCACGCTGGACAGGCTGTCTCACAGGGGTGGGGTGGGGTGGGGAGAGGAGAGATTTGTATAACGGTTTGAAACAAGAACAAGTGGATTCAACCTTTCGTTGATTGTTGCACATAAGCAATGACGGATGTGACATTTTACTCCATGACTACACACAATGCTTCTTTTCATTTGCTCTTATCAATCTATTAGACATAAGACATCCATTTTATTTCACTGTAATGCTGACTTATTTGTAATAACCTTTGCTGTCAGTTCTTCTAGCAGTTGCCTTTGCCAAATGTCTTTAAGTTTTGAAGTGTCTGCTTGATGCCAGTATGTATGATTATAATGATCAGAAGTGTTGAGATTACAACGTCTTCAGTTTTCTTATTGTTTTTTGGTATGATTATGGATATAAGTACAAATTCACGTTTCTGTATGCAAAATTTAATCACTTGTCCTGCTGCTTTATCATTTTTTACAGTCACATCTCAGATGGGTTATTGAAATTTTCATTCTTTTCAAGTTCTTTACAATTTCTTTTAGCTGTTTCATTTTGTGATTTGTCCTTTAACTCTGGAAATAAATTTGTGACTTTGTCTTAGATAAAAAAATTGCACCAAAGGCAGCAAATGATGTCAAATTGATAAATGCGGGGAAAATTTTAGAAAACAACAAGACAGTTGGCCAATGCAAAACACCTTTTGGTGAGCTTCCAAATGGAGTCATCACCATGCATGCTGTTGTACAACCGTCTTTGGCTAAAGCAAAAGCAGGTAGTTTCTATCTCACCTTTACAAGTTGGCATGCAAAGATATTGTTGTTTGAACATATGTTAGACGTAATACATAACTGCCCGCAATACGGAGTGTATGAATCATTGTGCTCATGGTAGTCCAATTGGCAGCCATAAAGCCCCAAAATTCTGTACCTCTCCCCGAGTAGATGATTTTTGTTCTTTGTATATTCAATTCTTGTTTCAGTTAGTCAGGTTGATAAATCAAGTTGTTTGCATTCCGGGCTTAACACAATATAGAAAGACTCCGTTAGTTGTTTCGTTATTAGGTTAGTCGAATGGTCATTTAGTTGTTGGGGACAACCTTTGGTGGTTAAGGAGCTTCTGTAATTATGTAGTACCTGGTGAATCAGGAAAACATTCTACATCCTTACCTTGCAAGCAATTTTTTTTTTTTTTCAATTTGACTGTTGGAGCATTGACCAGCATGGTTAGTCAGCAATTAAGTTAGTATCTTGTGATAAAAAATTGGACGAGAAATATGTGCAGTTCCAATCACAGTAGGCCAATATCAAGCTTGGGCATAGAGAGCTTGTTCTTTTTGCTTTGGACTTGGGCAAGCTTCCAAGCTAATTTAGCTAAACAGTCTCACTCTTATCATCAACAACGTCTTTTTGATTGCTAAGGACAAGATGAGGAAAAGTTGTCTTCGAGATGTAGCCCTAAGCAGTGCCAAATGAAAAGAAGGTTCGTAAAGCTAATCCAAGTGTACGGAAATATGGTTTCAGCTAGTTGAGTCGTTCTGAGTTATTGGTTCAACTTACATTTTAGTGTCATGTGATGCTTGTATAAAGTTAGTTTTGAGTCTGGTGAAACGCAATGCATTCTTCGAGCTCATCTCTATTCTGCTACGTCTTGCTATTCATTGACTCTCATTTTCCTTTCTTAAGGCTACCCGGTTTTAGTGTCAGCACCTTGTAAATCTTTGAATTTTCAGTTCATGTTCATCGCTATTTTGCTTCTTGATTGCACAGCTTCACCTCATATGAGAAACTGGAACATCAAGTTTGCTGAGGTTCTCTGTTATCTTGAGTTTCGGTGACTCAGTCCTCTGGGAGCCTTTCTGTTGCTGCTATTATTATGGCACTGTCTTTGTTCCACACAAATTGCAATGGTATTTTTTATTTTTCATTGTAAAGGAATCCTCCCCCCCCCCCTAAAAAACACACACACACACACACACAAAGAAAAAAAGAACCCCGCAGCCCCCTGGGAGGGAAAAACCCAAAATGAAAATAGACCATAGTAGGCCTGAGCATTTCAATAATTGGCATGCAGTTGAAATTGTTGTAGATGCACTTTTGTTTTTGCCATAATTTATCACGTCATGTGCATTCTACCTGTGAGAACAAGTTCTAATAAATTTTGGTTTTTTTAACTTCAATCCAGATGTATACAATTTTTGCATGAAAGACAATTAGAAATTGTAAGGACATTAGATTCATCAGTACTAGAAAGCAATGGTACTGGAAGTCTTAATGCTGAATGAAGAGTATACAATTCTAAATTCAGTATGAGCTTGAAGTGCCATTTTTATCAGAATTGACTCCAAATAAAAGGATGAGTTGTTACACCATTGTCCTTGTTTCTGATCCAGAAAAGCAGTTAACCTTGTCTCTTCTTTCTTTTGGTTGCTGAAAATTGTATTTTTTTGTCCGAGCAGAAAAGAAGGTAGATGAGGCTCCAAAGAAAAGCATCTGTGCATGCTCCATATTGTGAGAGTTGAGTTTGATTCAGATTAAATCTTTGGGTTCTTGAGAGTAAGTGGGCTCGGGAATTGAGTTGTTGGGGAACCGAACACAAATAATATGTAAGAGGGCATTCCTGTGCAACAGTGCATGTTTGTTATTATGTATTGGTGTTTTATCAATTTGTTGCTTGGTGTACATTTGTAGCTGCAGCTGTTTATATATTAATACAGAGGTCATGGGCTCGACACCCTCGAGAGGGCTTATACTTTGGATTATGTTCAGAGTTTGATGTCAACACAATCCTTCATGTGGGGTATATGTTGTAATGCTGCAAAGGCTTAAACCTGTTCATCGTGAAACGAAATTGTCAGAGCTTGATGTTTGAACTCACAGTTCACAATGTTTGATCAATTCTAGTCATGATTATGGCATGCAGGCATTGGTTGTGTCTGTGGTTGTTGCTTGTTCTTTGTCCCTTCTTATCTCTATATGCAGCTTCGTTTGTTCAAAACAAATGGTGGGAAATTGGATTCGGCCTCAGCACCTGCCCACTTTCTCTTTGTTCTTGAATTTTATTTTATTTTTGTCGATGTGGTTTCTAATTTATTTTTAAATTTTCCATTGTTTACATGCAAGTGATTTAAATCCAGGTTTTTCAATGTAAAACTGCATTTGTAAAACATGCTCAAACCATCCAGGTTTTTCAATGTAAAAGTGTTCTAGCAAAACATGCTCTTAAAAGGTTTTGTAGTGAAACGTGTTTTGCAAAAATGTAGAGTTGAACTACGTTTTCCATTACATGATAGTAATTTAGATGATGAGTTAGAAACCACTTTAAATATAAAATACAATGACATTGACATTAAATGATGATTCTTGAAGTTGGCGCGAGTTTCACCTCCTTTCATGGAACATTTTGAATGAGAAATGTGCTGATGTTGTAGCCATTGGGCAACACTCATAGGGTAAGGTACACCAGTTAATCAACTTAATCACGACACGAAATAAACCATCCAATTCCTACCTCCAGCAGGTGTTAGAGAGTATTGAATTAGCAATACATGCCCACAATTGTTCACGAAGTTTCTCTAATGATGCTGGAACCTCGTGATTTTCATTTAGTTATGTGAATACCTAGACACCATTATATACAATGGATTTCATTTGAATTTGTGCGGGGAGAAATTTGCAACTTTAAGTCACGACAAGCGAGAGTTAGGTGAACCAATGGCTAATGCTTAAAGTCAAGAGAGAAAACTCATGTGAGTAATCAAAATTTTTGTATATCATCATACTTGATACCTAGAGGCTTTATTTATAGTAGTAAGAAATAGTGTTTCATTGAAGCTAAAATTCTGAATTCTGATAGGATTGATCTGCGTTTGATATTATCACTAACTCTTCAATGTTAGGGGTAGGATTGAGCTAGGATTCTTACTCCTAGGTTTGTGGTAGAAATGCACTTGTCGGGTGGCGCCGTTGATTCTATCACTAGCTCCTTAAAACTTGGAGTAGTGTTAGAATAGAACTCTTATTTCATGGTCAGACTGTATTAGAGTGGGACTCATTTGGTCGTACAGATACATAAGTGGAGTAAGAGAACTTCTTGTAGCTTGATTGGAGGCCGAACCAAGGTGTCTTCGGAAAGTGAGTGCCAACCGGCATGGGCCTCCCAAGGTGGGTTGCCAACCGGCATGATTGACTCGGTGTCGCACAGAATTCTTGATGGATGATCAACCGCGATCAAAAATAGAGAAAAAAAAATGTATTAAATGGAATTTTATTTCGAAATTAGGTATATTGGACCCTAGAGCTATATGCATTAAGAGTAGTTGTAATTGAAGCCAATTTATTGATCTTTGTTGTCCATTTAATTGGATTAGACCCATTATCAATCCAACATCAACAAAGGTCAATCAATTTGATTCAAATAATATTATTGATATTCAATTTAAGACTTCCGTGACTCATATTTACTTGTGTTTGTCTCAATAAACGGATGTAAAAATCACAGAAAAGCCACAACAAAAAAGGAAAAATGAAAAGGAATAGAATGAATTATATTTTCTCTGTCGAAGAAAACGACCTTAGGTTAGGTAAATATTATAAATATAATTTACGTACTGCTATCTCCGAAATTCTTATGTAAAAAAGAGACGATTGTTTTATTGATATAATATACTAAATCAATTTGCTTACCTAATCCTTTTATACTGTTGCTGGATGAACAATTTACCTTATCCAATATTTATATTAAAATGTGTATTTGTTAATCCAACATAGAATATATTGAATTGCCAAATTGACACGAAAAAGTAAGAAAAAAATATCAGCATCGCCATGCAGAAGCAGCCAGAATGGATCTATCCTGCCACCCCAAAAGCAAGCAGCCCTTGTCCTCTGTCAACCTATAACCATCGCAAGAGTATAATCCCAGCAATATTTTCAATTGCGTCACCGCGTTTGAACTCAGTGGCACCCCTTTGAAGCCCTTACTTTCCATGATCTTCCTCCATTTTTCTAACCTCTCATGCCTCATTACCCTCTCCGGCCCCTCGCACGCCACTATGTTCCTTATCTCCGGCGCGAATATATGCTGCTCTACCTTTGCTCTCTGTGCCGAGTCCGGAGGAAATGTCGCGTCCAATGAGTCAAAAATGGCTGAATAATAGTGCAGTGCCTCCAGAAAACGACCCAAGAAGTACGGTCCATTATGGCTAGCTTCTTGTTCAACGGTGGTCACTATATTTGGCGCTTGGTCTCTGATCATCGCCAATAGATTCCCGAGACAGTTGCTCGGAACACGATGGAGCCGGTTAACGCAGTTAACAGCCAGAGCTTCACCAACGTGTCTGTTGAGCATGTGTGGTTTTAGGTCTACAAGTTGCTCTCCAACCGGGTGGAATTCGAATGGGACATGGAGAGACTGAGCTAGTTCAGTTAAACACCGGCCTGTCTCGCTCACCACCTCTGGATATGGACCAACTCCGGTGATTCGGAGAAATGGTGGCCCGCTAGGCCGAGCAGCTAGGGCTTGCATGAAAGCAGGCCATTGATATCCTTGGAGGATATCCAGGTCAATAACATGTACTCTCTCTTCGGCTTCAAATGCCTCAAAGATAGCTTGATTGGCAGTGAAATGAGCAAATTTAATGTATGGGCAAGCTTGGTAAAGAATTTGGTAAATCTTGAGGATTTCTAGTGAGTTTGGAGGGAAAGGAGTGAAGGATTTTGTGGTGGAGGAGGTGCTACGTTTTGTGGTTAGGGTTGCTGCAAGTCTGGCACTTAGGGCTTCTGTGAAACAGGAGGCAACACGTTGCATGGAATCACCAAGGGGTGTGACCACTCGATTGAGTTTGTGGAGGTATCTCCTTGCTAACATGTAGTCCTCTTTGGCAACTGATTCGGCACAGGCAAGAAGGAGGTGGACCAGTTGAAGCCCACTGTCTTGTTCCTGTATTAGAATCATATATGTCGAAACAAGTTAATTAAGATCGAGTCAAGTAGTGGATGTTGTTTTCATGAAATACCTATTAACCCAAGATCAAATTATGGCACGTGGAACTAGCTAGCTCAAAGAGTCCGATATGAATGGAAAAGGTCGACAATGAAATGACAGACTTTGGAGAGAGAGAGGGACTTACCTGCTCAGGTCCAAGAGATAAAGGCATCATCAAACTAGGGTTAATGTTCTGTGGTTGGTGGCGTTGTCCTCGTTGTGGCGGTGGTTGCCGCTGGTGTTTCTTTTCTTGCTGCCTTTCTTGTTGCAATTGTTCTGACAGTGGTCCGATGACAATAGAGCCCATCTGATAAATATCACCATCTTGATCATGAAGTTGTGAACCTCCTTGGCTCAAAGTTTCACTCACCGATCCACAAAACCTTGAAGAATTTGGGAACGTTAAGCAGTCCAACAATGCTGGAACTGTTGTCAGGGTATCAAAACAATCCGATGAGCTTCCAACACCGGAGGTTTTCACCGTTGAGTAACATAAAATATCATCATCTCTCTCATAATCGTCCAAAAAGTTCTCAAGAGCTGGAATAGAGAGGCTCTCGGGCTGCATATACTGATTATTATTTGGAGAGTTGAAAACCTTATGTAGTGGGCTCAGTCCTGTGCCTTTGTGGGTACTGCTATAAGGTCCTAGTGGAGATGACATGCGAGGAGGAGAGCACCCACAAAGGGTTTGTCCATGCATCGGCTGAGCGTAGTTGAAGTTGTAGTTGTGGTTTGATGCTTGTGGGGATGGTAAGTTCCTCACCGGCGATGAGATCATGAAGTCTCCTTCGAATTGATCGGAGAAAAATGACTCCCACAGTGAACTATCGGGTGACTGGACTTCAATATCTCCGTCCACTTCAAATTTGATTGCCGCAAAAGACAGGCTTGATGGGGTCAAGCTATTCTGTTCAAAATCCGATGATTGAGTCATATTCTTTGCCTCCGACAATGATTCATTTGGAGAAGTTGATAGCAGTGTGGTACATGAGTTTTCACATTTTAGACTCCAAATCTCATTCTTGAAGCTTTCCATTTCACTCTCCACACTCCCAACCTCACTCTTCACACTCCCAACCTCACTCTTTAAACTCCCCATGCTACCACACAGAGAATTAATCATCATATTTTACTCAGGATAGCAAGCTTATTTTCAGATACCCACAAGCTTTTTTTCAACATCCTCAAGACTTGATTTTTTTTCAAGATTGCTTACTTGAATTCAACAGAGAGAAAACTTAACTTGCAGCAATCACACATTAATCTGCTTCTAAATATACCTAAGAGTTATTTCTACAAATAGAAAACTAAAGCTGAGATTCAAGTGTTTCTCTCTCTTTTTATCACCAAATAAATTTGTCCCCTTGTCCAGATTGCCGAGAGAGAGAGACAAATCTGAAGACAAACTACAATTATAATTGCATCTGTTTGGAGGTTAGTGATTAAACCACCTCCGATCCATTGTGTAATAATTAACTCCGCTAAGTTTAGTTGTTCTCTTAGAGGCGTAACTTGTCATATTGGCTATCTGCTTTCATCAGCTAAATCTATGACACTTAGGAAACGCCTGTCAATGCTTAACTAGAGGACAATCTACTGGGTTGGGCCCCAACTTTCATTGTGCCGGCCGCTTGGACAACAAGAGATCTCCAAAATATTCCTTTTATTGCTATGTAAGAATATGGGACTATCCTATAACATGTAAACGTCGAATTGGTGATTGGTTGAAGGAGAATGATAGTGTGAGACAAATAAAAAGAAAAAAAATTGTGGGTTGGATATTATTTTATATCTTAAAAGATATTTAAAACTCTAATTTATATTTTGAAAGATTAAAATTTTCAAAATACATCCTGATTAATCGGATAAAAATATAATATGTGGTTGAAAACCAACCATCATTTACTTTTCCCCCACCATTTTTTGGATACAACCTTGTCCTTGTTCCGAAGGGAAACCAGTGGCCACCCTCAATAATAAATGTCACGGATTGAATCCTTCCCCCGTTCCTTTCTTATTCAAAAGGTCAATCAGATCTGAACCATGATGTCCGCTCTTCAGTCATACCTCAACGATTAAATTAAAGCATTTTCCAAAATAAAATGTCTCAAAAAATGCGTTCGATTGATAATTTGGTCTAATCCTTATTTGGAACAATCATGAACTCTTCTTTGAGATTAAATGAAGTTAATTAGCTTCCTCGTTGACTTTGCTTTTAAATTTCTTTTGTCATGAACGAGAGATTTGAAAATATCTAAGAGGTTCATAACTCATACATTTGGAGTCATTTACCCAATAATAAACGATAAAAGCATTCATAAAACATCTTCATCTGTTAAAAGCTTGGTAGCACAAGCATTGCATTATTGATAAGTTAAAATTACAGAAGGACACAAACTTTTCTTGGTCATATCTGAAGATCAAGTCTTTCATGTATCCAACTAATTATATATACAATGAACACATACGAAAGAATTTTGATCGAGGCTTATACTTTGAGGTAAAATAAACGTGTTCAATCTGGGTTATCCATGTAATTAGAGGAATAGTTGGATGGTATTTGAGGAAAAGCATATGAAGGTGAAAGAGGAAGGTGAGTGGTAAGGGCCGTTGGAGAAGAAGGTGGTGACAAGAAAAGGACATTGGTGAAGTCGTCTCATGTGGCGTCATCTAGGCTTTGGACTTGCCAAGGGAATGAAGCGTTTGTCCCTTTCCTTTTCCCTTCAACCTTTTCTTTTCAGTTGGCATCTCTCTCTCTCCTACCTATCTACCCTTTTTTCAGATAATTCTTGTTAGATCTAAAAAACTAACTTAATATTTTGATATACTTATTTACAAATTTCACTGAAAGAGTCTAATGGTTATAAATTATTGGATCATGTGAACAAATCAGTGTTTTAAGTTAGGTTTTTTTGGTATTGTTACTCTTTTTTTGGGGATTACTTGTAATAATTTTTCCCCATATAGCACATGTCAAGCTCACGTGTAATAATTAGAGTAAGAAGAATAGGTGGGTACACAAAAATTTGTGCAGACTTGAACAGATTAAGCATAGAAATGAAGAGAGAAGAGGGGGGGGGGGGTCCTTTTCACTCTTCTTGTCTTACTCGGCACCAAACCAAAAGTTCCACGAAAGGTGGACTCTTAAATTTGTGCTCAACCGTCTGGATCGTGATTTAGTAATTTTCGGCTTTAGTTATCGTTTTAGATACTAATACAAAATTAGGAAAGTCTCCAAGTCTCTGGAGTTTTTTTGATGGTTTTACTTGGAAGGAAATATGCTTTCATTTCTGCCTAAAAAACTTATTTTACTCTATCCATTATAATTTCACTTACCAATGATAGATGACTTGCGGTATATAGATGAAGGTTAAATTTATAAATAATGAGTTCCACTTAAATCTATAGTGGGTGAGAAAAATTAATGACTAAAACTTTTTGGGCATGCTATGGCTATAATTTTATTTTTTTTTGATTCAACAATTAGAGGTATTTGCACTAATTTACGTGCATCTTAACTAATCCTCTCTCTGGTCCGGTCAAAAACAGATTATCCATACTAAGATTAAGGTAAAGATTTGAACTCAAGACTATACATGTCACGGGGAGTAATTAAGACTCAAACATGGTGAACGCAACTCATAGAGTTGTGGTATGAAATCGATGAAGCTAAGAGGTGAAGAAGAAAACCGAGAAGCCAGCCGGTGGGTTGAGCTTGTGTCACTCACATTCACGTAGTAATTAACATTGTTAGAGTCAAAAGCAACTTTTTCAACAGTATATCTGGGGTTTGAAACTCAGGAGTCCCAAGCATGGTAACAATAGCTTATAGAATGAAGGAAATCTCATGGTGCTTTCAACAACTGCCTGTTACTAATTTTTTTTTTCTTTCTTTTTTTTGGGGAGGAGGGAGAGGGGAGGGGAAACTTGAATCCTTGACCTCAAGNGGAGGGAGGGGGGGGGGGGGGGGGGTCCTTTTCACTCTTCTTGTCTTACTCGGCACCAAACCAAAAGTTCCACGAAAGGTGGACTCTTAAATTTGTGCTCAACCGTCTGGATCGTGATTTAGTAATTTTCGGCTTTAGTTATCGTTTTAGATACTAATACAAAATTAGGAAAGTCTCCAAGTCTCTGGAGTTTTTTTGATGGTTTTACTTGGAAGGAAATATGCTTTCATTTCTGCCTAAAAAACTTATTTTACTCTATCCATTATAATTTCACTTACCAATGATAGATGACTTGCGGTATATAGATGAAGGTTAAATTTATAAATAATGAGTTCCACTTAAATCTATAGTGGGTGAGAAAAATTAATGACTAAAACTTTTTGGGCATGCTATGGCTATAATTTTATTTTTTTTTGATTCAACAATTAGAGGTATTTGCACTAATTTACGTGCATCTTAACTAATCCTCTCTCTGGTCCGGTCAAAAACAGATTATCCATACTAAGATTAAGGTAAAGATTTGAACTCAAGACTATACATGTCACGGGGAGTAATTAAGACTCAAACATGGTGAACGCAACTCATAGAGTTGTGGTATGAAATCGATGAAGCTAAGAGGTGAAGAAGAAAACCGAGAAGCCAGCCGGTGGGTTGAGCTTGTGTCACTCACATTCACGTAGTAATTAACATTGTTAGAGTCAAAAGCAACTTTTTCAACAGTATATCTGGGGTTTGAAACTCAGGAGTCCCAAGCATGGTAACAATAGCTTATAGAATGAAGGAAATCTCATGGTGCTTTCAACAACTGCCTGTTACTAATTTTTTTTTTCTTTCTTTTTTTTGGGGAGGAGGGAGAGGGGAGGGGAAACTTGAATCCTTGACCTCAAGAATCATAAGATAAAGAATACCATTAGGTTTAAGCTTAAGGTGCTGAAGCTTATACCAATCGTTATAGTAACTTGCTATGATCGGCTAGGAAAGATCAAAATGCTGTTTTATTACCTATATTATTTGAGAGATATAACCTAAGGAACAAGAGCCACATGTAACAAGGAAAGTTATTTCATCAGGGGTCCTAATTCATAGCAGTAGTATCTTCTTGGATTACGAATGGACCTACATATATGGCTAGGTCAAATCACGACCAAAACAATTTTTCTGCTTCCAGTTGACCACCAATACTCTTTTGAATGCTTCAATTAATGAACATATATTTAATGGTCCAGCGGTCAGGAACCAGTCAATTTGAAAATTCTGCAACAGTCTTGACTGAATCTAATTGAGGGTTCGGACATGAGCAAGAGGCTGGCTCATCTAGTTTACTTTTCTTTTTCTTTTTTTGTATAATAATAGGAGTGTTCGGATCAGTTTGCTCACACCTCGATTAATCTCCTCTCCAATTCGAACAAAGGTAAGTTATTTACACCAAAGTTAAAGTATTTATGAAGGATAAATCTCTTATGATCTGACTCATCTAGTTTACGATAGGGAATAAATAATGGATTAAGATCATCTTTAGTATATTTTTAAAAAAAAATAATTTTGACAAATTACCTATTATGCATTTAAGTGAGTCTCTTAATTATTAATAGTAAATAATCCATCGAGGAAAACTTTTTTTAAAAAATATTGGAGGAGATGTAGATCAAAAAATAAACGAAACTAAGAGCTCAATGGGCTCGCAGGGATGAGTTTGGTAGCGGGATGAGGGATGCCCATTGAAGGAATGGGCTGGCAATGTGAAAGCACTAATGGGATGAAGTACCGAATTATGTTGGCTGGAACGAACCCAAATGACAAGCCCATAGAAGAAGCAATTTCAAGCATGATCTGCGGGCAAAGCACTATGCGCCCTTTGTTTTTGTTTTGCTTGTTACTTCGGGCAGAAGGTGGAGAGGGAGGTTTGCAAGTGCTTGTTTCTGTATCAGCAGTAGATAACAATGTGATTTTCGGTTACCCAGTTTGTTCTACGCGATTACATCCGAATCAGTCCTTTTAACCAGCAAACAAAAAAAAAAATTAGGGAAGATTTGTTTGATCTGAAATCAATTTTAGTATAGGTTTAGATGATCAAGCACTAACTTTACCTCCTAATGCATATGGAGCCATGTTTTAACCTAACTCAAATTACGGTGATTTCCAAAAAAAGTCAAAAAAACGCCAACAAATCATCTTTCTCTTAGTTATCTGACATGGGTTTAATAAATGCGGGGAAATGGTCAAAAAATCTAGGTTTTTCTCATTTTTCCCATTAATGAGAGTAGTTGAAGATTATGTAACATAAAAAAATGCATATGGAGCCAGAGAGCCCCCATGTGATTGGTACCTGAATAAGGCTCTAGCTGATCATATTTTCGTATTGCTCACCACAAATTACTTTAATACATAATATTCAGTTATTAGATGTATCATGACCACAAAAAAAAGAAGAAGAAGTTATTAGATGTATCAGGGTGACCTCTATCCCTTCCTGTAACTATTGATAATAGATCAATCTTATCTTTCATGGAATTTCACTTACACTCTGAAAGAGTTAACCTAGCTATCAACAAGTTGACTCAGCACCCACCAGTGTCTGTCAACCGGATGATAAGAAGCCATAATTGGTTCATGATCCAGGAAGCGTATCATGGTTTCTTGCTTATCCAACTACTTTGGAAATATACGTCGTCATCTTTGATGGATTGGCAATTAGTGAGTCTCTCTATCCGTATCACGATTCTCCGGCAAAAGAAATCTTACTTCAGATCATACGATACTGCCTTAGGACAACCAAAAATGGGGAAAGAAAAAACAATCATCTTCTTGGTTTTAATCAGTAAGCATTTTGGTTTCGAAGTTGACTGCCACAATACGATACTGCCTTATGACACGTGATATCATATATAATCCAAAAACACTGTTACCTATAGCTATATACATGTAATAGATCATGTCATCTTTGATGTATTACTACCAGCATGTTCAGAATTATCCAACAATTTACAGAGATGTTAGTCATCTTTACCATATTGGCAATATATTTGTGGATGTCTTGATTCTTTGGCAAAAGAAATCTTACAGGAGATTATACAGCAAGGCCTTAGGGAGCAAAAATCATGGTTTATGGGTTTAATCCCAAAGCATTTGGATTTTAAAGTCGACTAGCACAAGTATCTATCAACTGGAAGATAAGGTTCCATTCCATTGGTCAGAATTCAGAAACATTCATCACCTTTGTCTTATTCACAATTAGTGAAGCTATCTCTCTCTCTCTCTCTTACACAGCAGTTTATAAGAGAATGACTTACGACTCCCAAAACAGGTAAAAAAGAAAAAAGACAATCATGCTCTATGGAATTACTGTGTAAGCATTTGGACTTCAATAATGCTATGCTGACCAAATAATGTTTGGACTTTTAAGTTGACACATGAACTTAGTTATAGCTTTATCCCAACTGTCCAAGCTTTCTCCTCGATAGCTCAACCAATCAATACATATATATCTGAGTCCACAGACGTAGGCAATGAGCAGGTACACACACACACACCCCGCGTTTAGATTGATGTACACTAGCACCATATTTAATTGCATGGGTTTTTCCATATCCTTATGACCCTTCATGAGTAGGAGCCGTCTGCATTAGTGTAAACAATCCCAAGGTTCGAAAGAGAGTTTGAGCAAGGATGCTTAGTGAAATTCAAGAGAAACAACGAAAGGAAATCTTCCATATATTTTTTGACCCTTTTCCTCAAAATCTGAATCATATGCCAAAAGAAGTTCATCTCTCTCTCTCTCTCTCACACACACACACACACACAAACACATCCACTTCAGCCAAAGGACATTCACATGTCTTTGTTTGTTGTGAGCAGAAAAAGTTCCCCCAACTCTTTGCTAAGAGCTGTGTTCTCACCAGCTGGCTCTCATTATCGACACGCCATGAACATTTCTTCAACTACATAACAATTTTATGAGAGCCATTAATTCATAGACTACTAGCTAGCTATTTCAGACAAGCTTAGTTGGAAGTATCCCTCACCCCCTCAAGAGTTTTCTCCCATGGATTCCACCATTTTCTTTGTACTTTCATCCTTCCTAACTTTGTCACACTGTCTGAAAGTTGAATCAGCAAAAGTAAACCCCCAAATCACTGTCATGGGCATTGTTTACTGTGACATTTGCTCCAACGGCACCTTCTCAAGGCACAGCTACTTCTTACCAGGTTCCAATGCTCAAACCACTTCTCAAAACTTCCATTCTTCATATCAATATTTGTGAATAAGCTTATTGGGTTTCATGCTTTATTTGTTTAAATAGGTGCAGAAGTTAAAATAGACTGCATGTTTAGAGCAATTGCTCCAAGAACCACAGAACAGCTAACATTCTCAAGCAACAGAACCACAAATAAGCATGGAGTGTACAAGTTGGAAATACCAGTTGTTGATGGAATTGAATGTGCAAGGGATAAAGCAATGGGGAACTCCTGCCATGCAAGCTTAATATCAAGCTCTGCTTCTTCGTGCAGTGTTCCAGCTTACAGGACCACATCAGATGAGATTTCAATCAAATCACGAGAAGCCAATATGTGCATCTACAGCCTAAGTGCATTGAGTTTCAGGCCCTCCAAGAGGGATACTTCCTTGTGTGGTAATTTAGAATGAAGAAATAGCAACTTCAGTAAAATTCTTCACATTCCCCTGCCAGAAATAATAATCATTCTTCTGATATTATTACATTTTAGTCTTGTTTAATCTTAAATCTTAGGTTGGGATGGCCAAATGGGCAATGTTGTTTGTCTCAGTAGTAGAATCTTCTTGTATGGACGGTTTTTGATACAAGAAGAATTACATTGTTCATTCAATTCAGCATTTTGTTGTGGTAAAACCTCTTATGTGTAATTCCAGCAATGCTGAATGCCCCTTTGCTGTTTTTGTTCTGTGTTTATGTTTCGGTCAAGAGGGAGTTTAGATGCCAAACTCTCTTCATGGCTAGAGACCCTGTGTTTTTCATTAACTTGATGACATGGGTATGTAAAAATTTAAGAAAGGCATATCCTTCATGAAACTGGATGTCATGTCACAATTTCTGTCTACGAACCGCCATTGGTCAAACAGAAGCTGGGTTCACAGTTGTTGGTCCAGGCATCAACCAAAAACCTCTAATGGGTGACCACCATGAGGTCGATGACATTAAACCCGAAACAACAGATTCCCCTAGTCATGATGTTTAGCTTGAATGGTGCCCTCATCATATTATTGTCTTTCACTATAGCCCTATGGTTGTTCATTTCAATCGGATGAGAATATGACTGAAAAGTTTCCTTTTAGCAGGGAATAAGCCACTTTCTTGATCAAGGCCAGACTTTTCTGCCTAGCATGACGAAATTATTTATTTCTGGGAATAACAAGAACTATCCGAAGGAATTTTGTATCACCCACAACTATATTTCGGTTATGAGACTCTACTACAAGAGCATTGTGTATTGCGAGTCTCTGAATCTAAAAGCAGCTACAACCAGACAAAATCTGGATGAAATCAGAACATGAACAGAACTTTTAGTAAGAGAGAAAATCAGACAATCTCTTTAGAGTAATTTTTTTGAGATGCTAGAAGATTTAACGTTACATTTGATTCCCAATGATAGTAGTATTAGAAGCCCAAATTAACAATCACGTCCGCTACATTCTGACTTATATCTTACTCGCTAAAAAGAGAATTGCAATGGCAGCAGTACTAAATTAGACTATTAACATAATCTTCACATATTTTTTGACAAGGGCGAGAAAAAATGAACGCAATTACCACAAGTACGTCAACATGCAGGCCATCATACTCTGCCATCCAACTCTTTTTGCGCTGTTCAAGTCGGAACTGAAGCTCTTATACACGTGGATTCTTCGCCTTCTCCTTCTCCTGCTTTCACTTGAGAAATAATGCTCACAAGAACTCAAAACAGGTAGGGGGGGTAGCACACAGTCCTCAGGAACTCATGCCTGGCCGCACTTGCTTAGACAAGCAACTCCCTCTTCCAAATAATCTTGTTTACTTATCCAAAATTCTGGTGCATCCTGCGGGGATTACAAAGATCTAAACATAAAAACATGTTGTCACTTTTTAAGATTTCCTATACTTAATATTTTCTTTCGTCTTGCTTTTCATAACTACAAAACACTCATGTACTACTTCCTTGGAACACTGAAAGCAATTCTTTACAAACCATTCCCAACATATAAGAAAGTTCTCACTAGTAGAATTGAGTTTTAAAAACTTATTGACACTCGTACCTCCCAATGTCCAACACTTCTGTGAATATTACGAGTCTTGTCACCTAGAAAAAATTCATTTTATGCATATTTTGTGAGAAACCAACTCTTTCATCATTGTTTCACAATAAATGATGACTTCTATAGGAACGCAAACCTACACTAACATCCCTTAAGAGCAATTGCTGTGTTCGACACCCTGAATCCAAGTCAAAGCATGGAAATCATGTCCATGTCTGCAAATCATGTGCCAAATTAATAAAAATGAACCTGACCAGCCATGAACAATGGGGAACAAAATGTGAGGGATTGAATAGATCCTAATAGTGAACCTGTTGAATGACCGTCTTTACCAACTAAGAAAGTTAAAATGGTTCCTGTATGTGTGCACACGAGAGAGAGAGAGCTGACATTTACCTTCATAATTCCTGCAAGGACTGCACCTCCAAGATAAACCATATGCTTTCTTCGCGGTGGATCCTCTATCCGCAATCGCAATTTCTTTCATAAAAATAAAAGAGATTGAATTTCTTAATGTGAAAAAAAAAGGATGTGTTTGACTAAAGCACCTAGAGAACACACAATTGAATAAGAAAAGAAAAACACGTAGAGTACCAAAAAAAATAAAGAAAAAAATGTCAATATCGCACGTTCTTGACTTAAATGGGGATTATTTACAATGGTACATTCATGTTTCAAGAAATACATCGACTAATCCCAAACAGTATAGTACAATCTGATAATGCAAAACGAGATGACCTTGAAATGGTATGTGGTGAGAGACCAGTAAGAAAATGGAATAAAACTACAATTTCTCAAGCCTCATGAACGAATATTTCAGACATCTGATGGCTGATGCAAAGAAATGTCATTTCAGTTTGACATGACAACATTCTATGTGCCAAACAGAACTGCCTCCTGGTTTACTAAGACAAACACCAGTTTCCTTGATTCACTTTTATTTTTTTAAATAAGATATTTTTTGTTTGACAATAGTAAGTCTTGCACTAATGAAAAACCAGTAATTCAATACCAACAGATATTTTGTTAAAAAGCCTTAATCTACTTTTAGTTCTGGGAAAAAAACCCTCAAAGGCATCATAGTGACTCAATATAACTTTTTCTCTTCCCAATCCATTACATGATGAAATTACCTTCAACCCATCTTTGTTTCCCTTCAAAACAACTTCAAGATAACGATCTGAAATTTCTTTCTCCAGGCTGCACACAACAACTTGAATAAAGTTTTGGTTTATACAACGTAAAGTCATTTTAGTCAATATCCTACAAAAAATTAACAAGGCTCACCCTTTGCAATATTGAAAAAGCAAAGAAAATCCGAAAGTTCCTTGATTATGCCCTCATGCATGTAGGTGCAACAAGAATAGAGGAAAGGGGAAAAAAATAATGATGCATAAAAATCATCAAGCATACAATTTCGTGCTATATCCAAATTTCTTATTAGATCTATTGTGTGCTACAATTTAGTAATAATCCTGTTAGCTTTTCAGTGATTATCTCATGCTATATCCAAATTTCTTCTTGTTTTTATCACCCAAAAGGAAAAGGAAAAAAAACACGTCTGCCCACCTCATCTATGGGATTGTGAAACTGACATTTCAAAGGGGCACTCATGATACATGCAGAAAGATGACAAATCATTGTTAGGATCATATACTGTAACAGAAGAAGCATGAGAACGCTAGTCATATGCTAGACAGCCACTTTGAGAAATAATTCCAGATGTTAATCCACATGCACCACTCTCCTCCCAGCACCACACCTGAGGAGGAAGAACTTGTCACCGTAGTGATGGCCTTATACAGAAGCCAGGATTCTCATCCTGTGAGGAATTTATAATGGTTCAACCACGGATTTGTCTTTTCGGATACTTCATGCAGTTATTTGAATTATGACATATGTCATTTGTGGCATTACATATCTATATATGCCATTGAACTGTGCCATATATACATCAGAAGCAGCCAAATTTCCTTATTTTATTAGAAACTAAATGCAAAACAATATATACAAATATTTATGTGGAATCAGAACAATGGACAGTCAGGTCCTTGCAGGGGGGAAGAAAGTTGGGGGGCAGATGGTCAATGAAGAGAAAAAACGGTCTCTAGATCATTACAAGAATCTAAAATCATGAACTTCTGCCAGCTGAGTTTCAGAACAGTTGTGGAGACTCATATACCAAAAGAACAATAATTGGCAGTGACAAGAAAGCAGATAAAATGATAGCATCTGAATATATTACCGACTAGGTAGTCCAGGATACATAGTACTCCCTCCACTCAAAACAATATGTTGGTACAGCTGCAAAATAAATCAATAGGGTTTAAGACACATCATAATAAAACACATAAATGATAGTATATGGGGAACAGGCAAGGGAGTGGCCCCATAAGGAACTAGCCTCGAGCTTATATGGTTGGTCTCATCATCAGATTCCTCAAGTAATCAAGTCTTCCCCCTCCCCCTTCTCATTTTTGCTACACACAAGCAGTAGACAGAGGATGGTCTTTTCATTCTAGCGGCCTACCCATAGTCAAAGTAGCACCATGTTAAACAACCATCTATTCCGAAAGCTTAAGTTTAGAGATGGTGTAACTTAAGTACTTATATTTCAACACGTCTCCACACGTGTGGGCTAGATTTTGGGTGTAGCACATCCAAATCTTTTAATCATTAGGGTGGCGGTGAAATTCGAACATAGGACTTCCGGCTCTGATACCATGTTAAACAACTATTCATATACTCCAAAAGCGTAAACTGCTAGAGAGGGTGTAACTTGAGTATTCATATTTTAACACACCACAACAAGGGCCCATTGGAAAGCCCAGTCAAAGGCAGAAACAAGGTCATCAGTCCTAGTGGAACACCTGACCTCGTTCCTTGGGGGTTGACCCAGGGCCATAATCTCCACAATCATCAACTTAGAAACTATAAGACACCAATTAAAAGTCACACAATCTCATATATCACTTTTATGATGTATAGATATGTCTCCGAAGGAAATCCAAATATCATAAGGCAGCTTGACTATTTCCCTATCTAGTTTAAGGACCATGATTATATGAGGCAGTTCAGCAGATGCTATATTAGATACAAGGCCTATAATTCAGCAGCCAAAATGATTGTGTAAACCAGTCAGTACTAATGTTATTCTTGAGAGTCTGCCACTGAGAGTTTCTAAACAAAAGAAAAGAGAAGAACGCATAAGTAGAACAAAGAAATAAAACATATCAGAACTATTTTAATTTTTCGAAGTTATAACATATACTTGAACAGTTGATCAAGAATATTAATATAGCTTTGATAGGTATAAATTTTTTACAGTAAAGTTACATAGTGAACTTTTACTTCAAAAAATGATCTTCGTACCATCATCCGATTGTCAATATCCATTTCCTGAATGCAGCGAAATACCATGTCAGCCATTCCATCACCTTCAACATCTATTAGTTCCTGCAAGCAGAAGGCACATCTAAAGTTTCACATATCTCAACCTATCAAAATTATGTTGCACCTGCATGTGCTCATAGGTTTAAGCAAAAATGTATTAAAGACTCTGGAGTCAGTAACCAAAGTGACTACTATATGTATACATGACACGTCTACCAGCAACACATTCCAACATGGAACAATTTCACAAAACTCTAAAACTCTACACATTTTCGGACAAATGCTACCCTTAACTGCAAATCATGATTTCATGGCATACAAGGGTTATTATGTGAAATCTTGTTGCCTTTAGTAGGTTCCATGATAGGGATCTTGGCATTGGATAAATATTATAGATTTGTGCGGGGAGTTATTTGACTATTGTTTAGTATGTATCTTTTAGTCATTTCTTTGAACCTTTAAGGACTTATTTGTCATTATTTATTTGCTCTAGGGTCTTGTTTTTCCTAGATATGGGGGAATGAACTACTTGCTTTGTAGACTTGAATTATTGAGAATTGTTGCTCTTCTTACTAATTTTCTCTTCAATTCTCATCCCTTAACTCTTCTTGTCATAATCTACATCATAGAGAGAGTATTTGCAAGGAGTTCCAGAATGCAAGAAACTAAAAATAATGACAAGCTTACAGGAGTAAAGAGAGCTTCAGGGGCCTGGAACCGTTCAGTGCCAACTTTGATGATCCTTCCATCTGGTAACTGTGACAAACAAGTCCTTAAAGGTTGATAAATTGACTGATCAAACTATGAGGATACTACTAAATAATTAAACACATATAACTACAAATTAAAGTTGGGATTCCTCTCTTTATGACCTTCAAGACAAGCAAGAAATTAAGTTACTGGGTGAAACATTCGACTTACAGTATAATTCTTAACAAGGATGGTGGTCTCAAGTCCCAGTTGATATTCCCTTTTGTAATCATAACTGCAGCAATCAGAATCAGATATTAAGTTGCAATATGACAAGTCACATAAAAGCATCGCATATTTGATATTTGTCGTTCACCTTATATAGCAGAGCTTCTCTTTGATATCCCTAACAGTCTCAAAGTCAGCACTTCTATTCATTGCATACCTACAGAGACAAAAATCTAGAGTTCTAACCAAAGTAGAAGCAACATTTAAAGAAACAACTCTTACCGATTTATATTAGATAATATTGGCACTCACCCTCTGCGTCGAAGTAAATCCACTAGATACGATGTTATGTGCCTTCCAGCGACATTCATTCGTTTTGTAAGATGAGGGAATGAGTAGCCGTCAACAACTGGAACCTGAAGACATTTTCATTAATCATACTTGCTGAGGGGTTTCTTCTGATGACAGTGTTAACACATCAAACCAATGAATTTTTTCTAAATGCATTGTGAATTATGAAACACACACTACCATCCTAGTTGGTATGTGAACCAAACCCTTGAATGCACAATACATGAATTGATACCCAAACATGACACCTTAATATAATATATCAAATTTCAACTGAAGAAACTTTCTGTCTAGATTAGGTTGAACAGTCTTTGTTATTCAAGATGAACAGAATGGGATGATTTACTACTGCTTAAGCAGACAAGCAGATCTCAATTTGCAGTAAAGACGAGCACCTACATCAGATGCTACACGTTACAAACACATGGGACCACTTTGGCAGGGTATGGGCATCTGATAAAGTTCATGCATTTCCTTCTGTTTCAAAGGATTCAGAATTTGGACAATAACACAGTCCTTATAGACTCATCTTGTATGCTATCCAAGACAAAAGGGATACATTTTGAAATACTATAAACCCATAAAACGGAATGTATTTCCATAAATGTCACTCGAAATAATAAGCCAGTATAAACAAATAGGGGGAAGAAGATAATTCAGTCTAGAAATACTCCTACAACATATTGTAGAAATGGTTCTTTAGCAAATTACCACATGGGTGACACCATCACCAGAGTCTATGACTAGCCCAGTCAGCAAACCTACAATAATTCAAGTTAGCGTAGAGTAGAAAATCAGTCTCATGTTGAACATAAATTCGTAGTGATAATATTGTGCATTTTCAACAGGGAATTCAATCAGGATATCTTTTTGTATGTCCTCGATTCCCGGCCAACTGGATTCACCATTTATGCCATAGTTTATCGGCAGTTCCAAATGCAGTAACAATCCATTTGGAATCAATAAAAAGTAAATTTCAAATTTAACCTTCAGTCATCTCTATAAGCACCTTGAGCATACAGCGTCAAAACGGCTTGAATTTGAATGAAGACACCGGAAAAGTTGTACTTTTCGAACATGGTTTCAACCTGTAATGACAATTTCATTCACACCCTACTGTATTTTGTAGTAGTATAGCAGTAATGAACAAAATCGTGGAGGAAAAAGGTAGATAACTAACCATTTTTTCACGGTTTTTGGAGGGATTCAGAGGTGGGTCAGTGAGCAAAATTTTACATTCTGTAGGATCTACCTGTCAAAAGACAAAGTGGAACACATGTTAGTGCTGTTATGGGGAAATTATATAAAGGGATACGAACAAAAACAATTAAACGAGGCATTAATGCTAAATCCAAGTTGTCACAAACATCAAGAGGCAAAAGTTTCTTCACCTTTAGTTCATTGAAAAATGCATGGTCCCACACATGACCCATATCATCCCAATTTTGCACAATACCATTATTGACAGGATAAGAAATATCAAGTTGATGCCGCAAGTTTAAGCAAGCTTCTCCAACAACGACATCCTGTACGAACAATAAGTTAAACAACCTTTACAAATTCATTTTTAAATTATGAACACCAAGAGACAAACAGACATTAATCCTCGCGAACAAATATCTTTCAAAGCTAGCAGAAAAGCATAGGCATGCCATTGGACAATGGAACAAATTTTCAGTTGAAGGGGCTTGATGACATTCATCTATACTAGAAAAATTGTATCTATAAGAGTACTAGTGGATTTTATCCTTTTGACAAACTTGTATGGGATAGAAGAAATAGACTACTGGATGAACTTTAAAGAATATTTTTACAATGAAGATTCGAGCTACCACCTAGAATAATTAAAATGCATATGTAAGTACTACTGATGTTGCTTTTCTCATGAAAAAAAATTCCCGGTCAGCAACAGAATGTGTAAACCTCCCTGTTGATGAAAAATATATGCACCTTCAGCTCTTGTTCTATGAGTGATTCTTCATACCGCAGCATTGGCCTTCCCACCACACAAGGGAACACAGATGTAGGAAAATTCTCCCCCGCAAAACCACACTTGACATACTGCATTCAATAGATCTACTTTCAGAAAATGGAACTTTTTAATTTAAATAGCCCCGGAAAAAAAAGACAAATGATTTTTGAAACATATTACTGAACTAAAAAGAAAATAATCAACTATTCTGTTTTTTATGGACTCTGGAATCTAATCATATCAGATACTCAACTACAATCAGAAGATCACATGCTAGTTTCTCACAGATAACGATAAATTGAATCCTAATTACAAATATGATGGAGAAATTATGAGTAACAGTGTTTTCCACTTTAGAAATTCTGTAGTTAAATGTTTTTTGAATAAAAGTTACAATTACTCAGCGGATCGAAAGAAAAACAGCAAGATTGAGAAGTGAGGAAGATTAGAAGAAATTGAAAAATGGAAGCGAAGGGAGAAATAGAGTTACTCCAGTGCCATTGTCGCAGACGACGACGTCCCTGTTGTCCATTGTTGTCGTCGTCCTAGCTCTGGAGTACCCGCATCTAACTGCCTTTACTTGAACTCAACTCAAGGGTGCGTACGATAACAGCAATGAACTACTCTGTCTAATTTCTCCGCTGCCAATTCGTACAGTCGAACCGCGAAGACAACGTCGACTTCGTGGTTGTCGTCCCTGGTTTTCTAACAAACGGCGTCGTTTGAGTAACCAGCAAGACTGCTCGGTGGCTTTTTTCTTCCGTTATTAAGTTTGGGGGTAATTACACTTTGCCCTCTCAAACTATGAGATTTGTATCACTTTGCCCTCTCAATTATTGATTTTCTCACATTACTCCCTTAACCATTTGAATCGACTTCACATTGGCCAAATCACAAAATGCCCATCATCTTTTGGAAGAAAAATATAAATGATTTGGGACAAAATAAAACAACCTTATGCCTTAAGTTTTAATAGATATTAACTATTGAGAGTATGTAAAACTAATAAACATTGTTGAAGGTACAACTTTAGTTGGAATTCATTTTATTATTCATGTGCGATACTTCAAATACTTATTGGATCACCTATTATGTTACACTATTGACATAGAGATATCATTTTTTTCAAGAAATTGTAATTTTTAGATTCTCTCAATTATATGTTTGGGAGTATGGTTATGTTGATTGCTAGGGAGAGAGTGATTGAATTACCATAGGATAAACGAGTAAGATTATTATTAGAAAGAATAGGGGGAAGTACAGTGCTGTGGCAAAGGATTACTAGAACTTTATCAATTTTGAGAAAAATTTCAAAGGATTTTTGCACTCCTAGACACGTTAGATGTTGGGCAATTTTTTTTTTTTGTTGAAAATATTAAGAGGGTTTTAATGTAATTTACCCTTCCGTCCAATTAGCTTTTCGTAAGTTGGGCGGCATTGGTTTTGGCACATGGCCTCCTAATTTAGGCCGACCTAGTCGAGTCCAGTTTTTTTAGAACGGGCCGTGTTCAGCCTGGCCTTTGTAGTTAGGTCAAAGCCTTTACCAGGCCCGTATAAACAGTGGGCTGCTACTATATTAGGGTTTTCGTTCGCCTTCGCAAACACTAGTCGCAGAGCCGAACACATCCGAAAATGGTGAGCCACAGCAAACTCTCTCTCTCTCATAGTTTTTGTTGATTTACGTCTCTAAAACCATGGAAATCATATCTGCAAAGTTCCCATTTTCATCGATAGGAGTCTAATTTTGTATTAATTTTTTATGTACTTTGAAGGCTCCAAAGAAAGGTGTAAGACTTCCAGCTGCAGCAGCTAAGAAGAAAACGGTATGAATTTATGTTATATTTATATTTACACAAACATGCATATATCTGGTTATCAACTATCTGGCACTTATGAGGCTTTTTGTGGTATTATTAATGGTATTTTTAGGAGAAGGTGGTGAATCCTCTGTTTGAGAAGCGTCCGAAACAATTTGGGATAGGAGGGGCATTGCCACCGAAGAAAGATCTGCACAGATTCGTGAAATGGCCCAAAGTTGTTCGCATTCAGAGGAAGAGAAGAATCCTCAAACAGCGATTGAAGGTCCCGCCTACCCTGAACCAGTTCACGAAGACCCTCGACAAGAACCTCGGTCAGAATTATGCCTCAAAAAATTATGCAATCTCTTATTGGCATCTTCTTCTATCTTTTGTGCATAGCAGGAAGTTCTTTTACACTAAGACTGTAGTAATGTTGACACCCCCCCCCCTCTCTTCCCAACAAGAAATAACCAAGTTTCACTTCATTTTACTTTACTATTCACATTAAATCTCATTCCGTGAATAAATTTCTGAAAATGGTTTTAGGACTCGTCATATTGTCAAGAAATTATAGTAAACTAGTTATTCCACATTAAAATCAAAGCGCTATCTGAATTAGACGAATGAAGCTGAAGTGCTCAGGTGCGAGTGTTCATAGACTGCCTCCCCCTCCTTTCCTTAATTTGCCATTTAACCTGAATGCCAACTCCATTGTTTCATAATTAATTTCTATCTCAACTATGCGGTCTGAGTCATGTAATTGTTTGTGCTTGGTGAGCACACGCATACAATGAACAAAGAGATATACTTAATTACTGAAGCAATGTAATGGGGGAAAATGTTAAGCATAAATTCAGTGTTTAGAGGCCAGTCTATTTTCAATTTTTGGAGGTCAGTATGATTACTAAGATATTTAACTAGATTGAAGCTGACTTCACCTGTTAGTTTACCAGACCCAATTGCATTTTAGCAGACCTAAAGCGATGCAACGCATTTCTGTTATTAAACATCTTTCGACAGAAAATTTGGACTTGATTTAATCAGATTTCGCTGGCAGAATGTCACCCAGGTAGTAATCTTTTAAAAGGATTTACTGAGGTGCTTAAGTGGTTCTTTTCAATTTCTAATTTATCTTGATTATTGACAACATGATCATCTTCAAAATTAGCTGACCTGGACTATTATTCTTGTTTTTTCTGATGTGTATATTCACTAATAATTGGGTGATGGTTCTGTAACTTTTGTTTACCTTCACGGTGGCATGTTATAACAATTTGCAGCAACAAGTCTGTTCAAGATGCTTCTCAAGTACAGACCTGAGGATAAAGCAGCAAAAAAGGAGCGTCTCTTAAAACGAGCTCAGGCTGAGGCAGAGGGAAAGGCTCCTGAGGCTAAGAAGCCTATTGTAGTGAAATATGGTCTCAATCATGTCACCTACCTCATTGAGCAGGTTGTCTTTCTTCTTCTTTACATGCTTCCTTTTTAATGCTCTCTTCCACTGCGTCTGTCTTTCAAATAAAAGCCATCTTGATTAGTTTTACTCTTGCAGAATAAAGCACAATTGGTAGTTATTGCTCATGATGTGGACCCAATAGAGTTGGTTGTGTGGCTTCCAGCATTGTGCAGAAAAATGGAAATCCCATACTGCATTGTTAAGGGAAAATCACGATTGGGAACAGTAAGCTGCTCTGTCTTGTATTCTTAGAAGGCTGGTATTCCTGAAATATCTATAGCATGTCATATCCTTTTCCATGATAGTATAAAAAGTCAACCTCTTACAGTCTGTGGCCCTGTATTTGGAGTGCCAATAACCTTACCCTTAAAAATGCCCCTTAAAAGCAGAGTTGTGGCTTGGAGGATACTAATACAGGTTGCATTTCTGCCAGATTGTCCATAAGAAAAATGCTGCAGTATTGTGCTTGACCACAGTCAGGAATGAAGATAAATTGGAGTTCAGCAAAATTTTAGAGGCAATAAAGGTGATGTGAAACTATTAGTTTGTAAATCCATTGGCCTTCATGGCCTTTGTAGAGGTCATATAAATTCATTTGGATTTTGCCTTCTTCTTTCAGGCCAACTTCAATGATAAGTATGATGAGCACAGGAAAAAGTGGGGTGGTGGGATCATGGGTTCTAAATCCCAAGCCAAAACCAAGGCCAAAGAAAGGGTTCTTGCCAAGGAAGCTGCTCAGAGGTTGACCTAGGAGCCTTCATAATATGTTGCCTGCTACTCTGAATATGGATTTTTTGAGGGTTTTCTCTTAGTTTTTCGTTACATTTTGGTTAACTGCTGGGTCTTGTGTCCTATGATATTTGATCATGTCATTGGCTTGCCATGACATCTGTTGCTGTAAGACTTTATGCACAAATGCTTGGTTTGTTATAATTTCTTGAGTTTGTGCTAATTTACTTGACTCTCATTCAAATAATTGGCCATTCTTGGCCAAAATCCTATAAATACTTGCACAAACTTCCTCCTCGCAATACCCACCAGTACTTCAACCTCAGATACGTTGCGGTGAACAAGGTTAGACAGTTGCTGGTTTTTTTAACTGCACCTAAGGTGTGATATAAGATGTTCATACATTGAGCAACAACTTGAGTACTGGCTGTAAGCCTGTCCTTAATGCCAAGCAGTATTGGTTCCTACTGACGTGTCTATACTCTATTGCAAAGATGTCATGTTATTCTCTATTAGCTTCTGATGTTAATCATGAAGCAAAAGGTGGATTTTGAGGCCAGGGAAGTGGAGCATTTTTACTGTTTGTAAGTTTTTTCTTAAGTGACGGATTTTTTGCCCTGGAACTTGTTTCGACCACCAGACGATGGCTAGTGCCTAGCGCCCTGCTAACAGTGGAAAGTGAGGTAATCATTTACAAAGGGAAATCAATAGGAAGCAGATGATGGGTAGTGCTCTGCTACTACTCCATTAGTACCAGACGACCGGTGGAGACAGGCCATGTTAACTTGAGTGGTATATTATTGGTTGAAGTCTTGGCTGGAACATGTGGGGTTATGGTAGGCTGTAATGGCAAACTCTTTCTGGTCCAATGCAAATTTTCAGTTGCCCCTCCATTGATGCAACTGGAACCATATTTGATGATCTGTAGACTCAGATGATTGTGGATTCAGATTTTCTTCCCTGCTCAAGACTTCGCTCGTCAGTTTGGACTCATCTCTTTTTGTTCCAAGGCTTACTAGGATCACACAAATTTGAGACGTGGATTTACTCAGTTGTTGATGATTGCTCGAATGTAACCAACGGCACTACTCATTCTACTTTGATATCCATTTTATAGTCCCTAATATACAAACCACAGAATTTTCGTCTTTGAAGGTTTCAACCCAGATCCACTGCAACTTCGCAAATCCAAAATTTGTTGATAACACAAGAAAACAAACCATAGACGAACAGGAGTGACCAAAAATTCTAGTTGATTCACGAGTCAAACGATGGTAGCGGCTGCAAAATCAACTCTGCAGACAAAAAGCCAACAGAATACACCAAATACTACATACCAAGCATCTGCAAAATCAACTCTGCAGACAAAAAGCCAACAGAATATACACTTAATACTACATACCATATACAATCTGCACATTTATATACATAGACATTTCTTCAACTGTCTGTACAATCTTCGTCTTTCTTTGCTATACAATTCAAGTAATATCACACTGTACATGGTCTACTTACAGCACATAATGATATACGAAGACTAGATCTTTGAGTAATTTTTACAGTATCTGATGGTTTCTTGATTTCTTCTATTCACTATCAGGACAACACATTACACACTCCCTGCACTAGGGGAAAAGGAGATACCTATTCAGAATGTCCTTAACCCCTTCGTATTCTTTCTTCTTTAGTTGAAGAGCGGACATATCTACATGGCTTCTAGTTCTGACACTAAATTGGGATGCATTTATCAAGAATAGGATCTGATCAATTTCAAATTCTGAAAATTTCGAACCTTAAAGAAGTTCCCAAAGAGGTAGCTCACTTTCTTCTCTTGGGGAGGATTTGGGGAAGGGCTATAGTTCATTTTAGCATGCAGTATACTTGGTCCAATCTGTCCACGAATTGAATCAATTGTCTTAGGGTCAACTGGATTACCAGACACATCCGTCACATAGAAAGTATTTTTGGCTTTCCCTCCTTTTGTTGAAATTTCTGCTCTTTTAATACACAAACTGTTCTCCCTGAAGATCCTGGTAATATCTGACAGGAGTCCAACCCGATCTTCTGTAAACAATTCTAGCTCCATCCCCTGCAATAACAACCTTAAATTTTAAAGAAAAATCATTGGTAGGCTTAATGGACCAGAATTTTTGTTTTAGAAAAGTTACTATACCTCAGAGGCTCGCCTTTCAATGGCGGCTTCAAGACACTGCATGACGCGTTCTCGCTCAGCTTCTGAGCATATAGGGACCCCATCAACATGTCGAATATAGTATTCCTGAGTACAAATAAAATTGCAATCCAATTATATTCTGAAATTAGCATTGATGGAATTGTGCTGTGTATGTGCACAAGGTAAAGAAAGTACAGCTAAGCATAACTGAAGAGGAGGTTCCAAATAATTCATTGTTGAGTTATGTAATCACCCTATCCAAGCTAGTCCCCACTTCCAAATCATACTTTTCTTTTTAAGAAATATATTTTTACCTGATAAGCTTCCATCCCCACAGTGTGAACAACTCCATGAAAGACTACATACTGCATGTCAGTTAGAGTGCAGACAATATCAAACAACAGCTTAGGCCTGTCTTTTGACCTCATGGTAATCACTGTGTAATCCTTTTCAATACAATCAAATATTGTCACATGAGGTCTTGAGCTCTTATCGTCAATTCTCCCACGTTCAGATTTGTCAACCTTTTCATAGTCCCGATCAGCAAGCATGATCTGATGTAATCTTCTCTCCCTATGTGTAAGGCCAGGAGGTGAAAGTGTCATTTTTGCTGTCTTCAAGTCATTGTTTCCCTTAAGAATATTACAAAGCAATTCCTTTATTGTGGAGAGCCGCTTTGGATCGTCAATTGCACACCCTGTATCATCATCTGTCACATGAACAACAGCTGCAGCTCTGGCATTATGTGTCCATATTTCAGCATTCACCACATTACAATGAAGGTCAGCAAGAACTGCACATACTTCAGACAATAAACCAGGTCTGTCTGTTCCGGTTAGTTCAATTGAGGTGTGCTCCTCAGAGGGCATCAATCCAACAGACCCTCTTAATGATGGTACGAAGAAGGCATCACTTTCCAGTGTCTGCAAATTTGAAGAGTGACATGAGAATTCTGACACATAAGAAAAGGACATGATTCATGCAATTCGGCAAAATTTTAGGTTCAGTGCCCAATAAATGAATAATATAAGGCAGCACTGGGTGGATGCCAATTCCAATAGGTGAATTTTACAAAAGCCTAAAAATTTCAGATCTGGCATGAAAATAAAAAATCAGTGCATACACGCTGCAGCCATATTCAAGCCAATTTCATATTGCAATATTGAACCTGTTTCTGCATCCTTGACTTTGAACAAAAAAAAAAGGAAGAAGAAAACAACTGCACTTTGCTACCTTTGGAAAAGATGAAGGGTGAAGTAGCAAGAAAGCACTTACAATTCGGATGTGATTGATGACTTCAACATCTATAATTTTGTTCCCGTCATGGTCAATAACATTGAACACTGGAACAACACAATCCAAGGAGATAGCAATGAGAAACAAAGAAAAAATTAGCCACAAACTTTTGCTTTACTTTCATGTGGGGAGAAAAAAATTACCATCCATGAACCATCCACCATCAGATGAGATGTATGCTTTTGTGATGACAAGGTTCAAATCTGTAAGAACTTGGACAACTTCTAGGAGAATTCCATGTTTGTTGACACTGTCAACCTGAATGAGATAAAACATATTATAATGAGCAACAAAAAGGGAATCCATAAATCAAGCATGTCTTACCCAGACTCATAGGGAGGCACAAGGTGTACCTGGATGACAGTTGCATCCTCACAAGAATCGTTGTCAATTACAACCCTGCAACAAGAAGAGGCAACTTACATGAAGAAACATACACTTCCTTATACACTCTAAAGAGAGGAAAATCAAACGATAACAACCAAGAGGGTTTCTGAAAAGGGGTTTAAAAAGAAAAAAGAAAGTCTAGCTGTACAGCAGTAACTAAAGTCACCTTGCAGGGTTGAACCAAACTGAAGTTCTTCCATTTTTTTATTTTCCTTTCTCAATCAAAAAAAAAAAACCAAAAAAGGAAAAAAAAAAAATGTATTGGAGAAAATGATGTTCTTAATTTTGTTGGCTCTGACAATATCGACAGATGGCCTTCAAAATAAAACCTAAAACCTAAAGCTCCACAATACAGAGAAAATTGGGAAGCGCGTCATAAACCACATCAACTTTCCAAAACAGATAATCATAATTGTTAAAAGGGAAGATTTCAGGGTTTCACAACCCCAAATTCTTCAAAATTTGATCCTCTGGCAGCCATAATGGTACAAAAATTTGAGAAAGGGATTCTCAAATTTACAATACCGTGCAGAATAATAATAATCTGTAATTCTATATAAACTTCAACCAATATGCACGTAAAAAACCAAAAAACCTAGGACATCAATTCAGGAGAAGTAACTTTAATTGGAAAAGATGAAGAGATTCGGAATAACACCTGGGTGGGTTCATCCTCCTGATAAGCTTTGCGTACTCGTCGTCCATTCCAGAGAGTTTCTCAAACAATTGGAAAGAATATGGAAAATCCACAAGGAAATACAAATATGCCTCCAATATTTAGGGAAGAAGGAACAGATGAAGATGATACTTCAAGGAGAGAGAGAGAGAGAGAGAGAGTAAAGTGAGGCCTTCGGCAGTTTTGAAATTCAATCCACTTTGGAGGAACATCAGATTAAAAATCTCTTGTGACACAGTCAGTCCTTTAACTGTCCAAAAGAGAAACGTACTTGGTGTCGTGCCAATTTTTTATTGGGTATGGTGGCAGTTATGAGTTAGCAACATGGACCAAACTAATGTGTATGCTGCCCCGCTGACTCTTGGCAGCGAGAACGGGGGATTGCAAGTGGGGAGTTTTTGGACCTCTTACGATTGCCATGTATATCCTTATAATTTTTGAAATTAGATTATGTCCCATTTTAAATTTGAATTTGTATTTCGCATCACATCCCACCATTCCGTTGGCTACCAATGAGTTCACATCTTCTGAAATACCCGTTTCAACCTCATTCAAAAGTAAAAAAAGAAGAAGATATTTTTCAAAGAATATCCCATTTAGGCTCACAATTACCTATTCATCTCATTCTACTTTTGTAAGTCTAACCTCTAATGCGTCAAAGATTAAGTTTGTGCCTTTTGCACCTTCCCCTCCCCAACATTGGTGATATGAAAACCACTTCCTAACTCTCCCTACACCAACAACGACACTTGTAAAATCACCTGAAAATCAAAACTCTTTCACAATTCCCCTTACTTGACAATTTGACCTTCTCTACGACTCACTTCTATTTTTTCTAACTTGGAAACCACACCTCCTTTACAATCTTAAGTCAAAATATATCGTTTGCTTTCCCACCCATCACTATACAATTCACCCACTTAACACCCATTAACTGTGTGTGTGTACGCATGTATTTATACGTTGAGGAGATTAATCCCTATGAAGATTTGTGACTTTTTTTTTTACTGCTTTAGATTTATGACTTTCAACAAAGGTTATTGATATGGTGGTGAATGTGGAATTGGGGTGGCTAAAGTGAGATTGTCTATTGTGATACAAGTTAAAGAGGAACTAGATCTATTTATAAAGGGATGAGTTTTATATTTTAGTTTTGATAATGGAAAATTGATAATTTTTTATGATTGGGGACAAAATGATAATTGAATTCCTTCCGTCCACACAATTACAAGACTAAAACGAGATATCAGTGTGATTTAAGAAACACTGGTGGTGTATTTTGATATTTGAAAATCTATAGGAGGTAGCAATATAATTTCCCTTTTTCATTTTGGATGATCAATTCAATGCCCGCGCCCCGCGGGAATGTTTAGCATCACGTGATCGTTTTGGAAATTGTTGCTGTGGCAAAACTGCAAAAGCCGAAGGTACGTGCGTTACGTCACTTGGTCGGGACTGTGGCGGCAAATCACGCGTAATTGACTGGTTTTTCTGACCACGTAATCTAAATGCTCAGCCGACTCAATGGTCGGTTTTACTCCTTTCCTATAATGCCCTTGGGCTTTGCCATTCATACCTCTTGGACTATGTTTGGATCGCGAGTTATATGTGAATAATTATTGTATGATAGAATAAAAAAATATATAAAATTCATATATTTCATGCTTGATAAATAAAAAATGCATAAGAAATTTTATTCTATTTTTATCTTGACTCAATTTAAAAAGTCAATTTTAACTGAATTACATGAAACCCAACGAGAGGTGAGATATTTTTTTGTCATATAAGATACTAGTTATTGTCTGTATCTGAAGGTACAAAATAATAAAAAATGATAAATAATAAACATATTTGTATTTATATTCAAAATTAAATCACAAACATAGAAAATAGATAAATGAATTGAAGTATCGATTTATAGTGGGGGTGAAAGGTGGTGGATGACAGTGGTGGTGGCGAGGACGGTGATGGTTGTGGTGGTGGTGGCAACGGCAACGACAACGGTGATGGTGGCGGCGGCGGCGACAGTGGTGGTGTGGCGATGGAGGTAGGAATGGTGATGGTGGTAATGGCAGCGGCAACGATGACGATGGTAGTAATGGTGATGGTAGTGGCGACAACGATGGTGGTGGTGGTAGCTGTAGCGGTGACGGTGGTGGTGGTGGCGGCGGAGGTGGTGGCAGTGGTAGTGGTGGGGCGGTTTCAAACACTGTTCTTTAAAACACATATTTATGAGAAATAATTTCTATAAGTACTTTTAAAAAGTCACTTCAAACACACCATAATGGTCTACTTTCCCTATTAAATTTAAAGTATTAATATTAACAGTTATATTAACTTTAAAATAAAATTTAAAGCGATCTCAACCGCAAATAGCAAAAGTCATTTTGCTTATCTTTTAAGATTTAAATTGTAAGCTACTTTATTATATAAATGTAATATCACTAGTCATAACCCTGTGCCTGAAGACACGATAAAATATAAAATTCGAACGTCCAAAAAAATTGATCTCACTATATTAAATTTTTTTAACATGTCTATATTATTGTATCTGAATAATATTTAAAATAAAAATTATATTAACTATAAATTAATTAAATATTAAATAATTAAATATATGATATAAATGAGTGATGTGACTTGACGTTTGAGTCTGACAGAGAGATGACGGGTGAGGTAACTGATTGGTGATGATTTTAAGAAAAAAAATATGACAGGGATAAAATTTAAATTATGAGGTATTTTATTATATAGATTTATAGATATGCCCACTCTTAGCTTAGGAGATCCTTGTATCTTTTGTCACCGCCTCAAATACATCAATGTTCTCTTCTCTTGCTCAGTACAACACTTCCTTACTTTTTTATGGTTACAATATATTTAAAAATATTTTTTTTATATTTGAATGAGTTATTATAAAAATAGATGTGAAAATGTATTTTTTATTTATTTTTTGTTTGATGGAGGTTAATTTATAACAAAATATGGTGGTGGATTGAATAGGATAAGAGTATTAATAAATAATAAAAAGCAAATTACATTACTTTTATACTTCACAAAAATGTATAATCTATATAAACAGGTGAAAATATTGGATATATTAATTTATATCATATCGGATGACAATTAATTGTGTTTGAATTGACTAAGAAATGATATTTTTTAAAATATCTAATCTACTCCAACCTTGTTATTCAAATATACCCTTGGGGCAAGCATTATATGAGTACCGGACAAAATAATGTTTGGGCTCACTTCATCCATTTTACTTCAATATTTGGATATACACTTTGAGCATCATATTATCACCTAAAAATAATCTTAGCCTAGACAAATAGTACATTTAAACCCACCTATTTTGTAGGTTTAAATAATTCAATTGTGATGTGTTTTGACAAAAAATATTTTTATTCTCAACAATCTCTAAAATATAAATATCATTCCTTATCTTGTGAGTTATTTAGTAATTTAATATTTATACTATCATTCGGTACAAGTTTGGATAAAATAAATATAGGGTCCACTATTTTTTAATATTTGAACCAAATATGAGATAAAGATACATAAATTTTAAAATTGTCTTTCTTCTTCCGCTGAATAGGTATGAAATAAATGAAATTGTCCAACTCGATATATTCTAGTACCTCGTCCAAACACACCTTTTAAATCGCAATTTAGCACTAGGTGTGTCTTTCACAAAAGACACATATCACGACCAAAATATATTCAAAGTGATGTCATAATTTTTTAAAAAAATTGCAATCCCTTAATTAGCAAAGTTTGATTTTTGATATAAATTTTGAGAGGAGAAAGGAGTAAGAAATTAAACGATTAAATTTTGAGAGGAGGGAGCATCTCTATATCTATTTCCACATGGGGGTGGGTATAAGAGTGGTGATATCTATCTAAGCCATAAACGTGGAGACTCTCAAACAACACATCACATGCATATCTATTGAATCTCCACAACTCAAGTTTTGATAATTTACTTTACTTTGGCTACCACACGAGTGTAATTAAACAAGTGACTACATGGATCATAGGGTCTTTTGAAAAGGAATTGGATTCCCGGGGAGGAGTGGGGTTGTTATTGGGATATTTTAGAAGACAAAGTAAAAGATACAATAAGAAGAGAGCCGCCCCTTGGGACCCACTAAGAATAATAATACAAGACACTCTTAAATTTCTGGCCCTTCGCTGGAACAAAGTGTGGGTCCACTTTCTTTGATTTTCGAATAACGCTTGCGGAGATGGGCCCAACTTGAAAAAGGCGGTGTGAAATTCTTAAACTTCGTTCACATGCCTTGACCCCAAGAGCACGTTAGTAGGGTGGGCCCAATGAGATTCGAATCATCCTAATATATTCTTTGTCCTCACAAATTTGAGTCTTTGGCATAAGAATCGGAAAAAGGTTATGGTATGGTATGGTATGGTATGGTTAGGGCCTTTTTATTGAAATTTATAATTTTTTTAAAGTGTAAAATATAATTTTAAAAAATTTAATTAATTATGAGTGATTGAGATCGATATCACGAATTTATGATTAATTATAAGCGTTTATGATCGATTATTACCTTCCTATAAATAATTGTACTTTTTTTCAAAATTATAATTTTATCATAAAATATGATAATCGATTGTATAGTACCAATTTTTTATCTTTTATTTTTTTAGTACTATAGACTTTTTCCTAAAGATCGAGGTTTGGCCAGATAGATTCCATACCCATTATTATTCCATAAATTAAGTCCTAAAAAGGACTGATATTTTGTGGGTAAAAAATTTAAAATTAATACAATAAGGATATACTAATTCGAAGTCAGCATTGTTTGAAGTGATGTCTTAACGGATAAATGAGTAGTACTAGATATTTGGGTGGGTGCATAGAATTTAGCATATGATGTAATACCATGACATATCATTTTCTGCAAGTCAGTAAGAATCAATAAATACTAATCCCAAAAATAAACAAAACTTGTGGATCAAAATTTCGTTTCAAAATAATTTGATATATTTTGACAAATGTTTGTAAAAAATAATTTTGCACTTTTTTTTATTTTATTTTCAAAACAGATTAAAATATCTCCAAAATAATTTTGAAACGTTTCCGTTACTTATTTGACCGAAATAATACAGCCAAATAAAATTTTGATGGTTGCTTGCCAACAAGACAGCGAAACAAATTAGGGAAGATTTAAGACATGACAAATGAGTCTGAAATCAATGGGTCCACCAATTCGTGAGATGGGTAACGGAGTACCAGCTGTTTAGTGGGTGAAGGGAATCCCTATATATATTGAATCAAATGGTAATTTGTAGAAAAGAAAAAGGAAAACGATTGTGAGACAAATGTTTTACGTGCTCATTTGTAAAGAAAGATTCCTTGAACCTTTGTCTTTTTTTGAAAGAACAATAGATGCTGTTAGAAACATTGGTTGTTCGGTGGATGGATTGCGAGTCCATTAAAATTTTCAATATTGGTGTTGACCAAGTTGTTTTATTTTTAACAATGGACTTATTTAGAATTGGCTTAAAATCTTAGTTTTTTTTTTATTTCAAAGGAAAATAAGTCTGGTTTGTTTGGATTTAGAATTATTGAACGGTTTTTCTATTAGTTTTTTGGGTAAAACAACTTTTATCAGCACCAATAAAAAACTAAAAAATGGGACTTATTTAAGGATTTCCAAGAAAAAATCGATTTTTTTCGAAAAACACTCAAAATTATTTTAAGAACTTTTTAACTCTAACTTTTTAAATCTTTGTTTCGCATTCAAAGAAGTCAATTCTAAACTGGGCCAATATCAAAATAACAAATATTTAGGTGCAGTACACTTCGTTTTGATGAGTGACCTAAAGATGGATTTCGAGTGCAAGCTCCGGTGACAAAATTCATAAACAAGTTTTTATCCATAATTAAAGGCAGATCTAGGAAATTATTTATCTAGGTTATGGGTGTGAATGCCCACACCCATAACCCTAGATGATGCATTAGTCAATAATGGCATGACATATCTAAGTTGTAAAGGATACGTTGGAGGACAAATTAAGGTTTGCACCACCACATACACATGATGAATGAATAAGATGTTTTCCTCATTTTAATATGTAATGGACATAATTAATTACGATGAAGGTCTCTCAACTTCTCCTCGTAAAGTGGCTTGCTGCTACCATTGGATATTGGAAAAAATCCATTCTCAATTATGTCGAAATCGCCAGTTGTTGGGCCACACAGTGTCTGGTGGTGGTGGTGGTCCTGGTGGAAAATTTTGTCCATGTTTGGATGGAAGTGATATTTGATACTGGGATGTTGCCGGTGTTCAGCAGCCATCAACCAGAACTTTTTATTGACTGGTGGCATTTTTGGTTGAGTCAAATCAACATACAGGCTTTAGGTTTGTTATTTTATGCTAGTGTTCCAACTTTCTTCTTGGCTAGCGTAGAAGAAGATGCAGTTCCATTAATTAAAGACGTGTTCAAACTAGTGCTCCGTTGTTAGACCTTAGCTTCGCGGTTTTGAAATTCGTCATTCCCTAATTATAATAATGTCTCACATAAAAAAAAAAAAAAAAGAGGGCAGAAGTGATTTCGATGGTGGGTCATTACCTAATGCCCGCCCGCCGCCCTCATCTTCATGGAGATCTATAACTTTAAATTATAAGTCATCTACTACTTATTTATTTGTTTGTTTTTCCTTTAAAATTAAGAAAATAAGGGAAGTGAGTATCAATTCTGACCCGTTGATATGAACTCGACACGAACAATTATAAAATTGATACGGTTATTAAATACTCATAATAAATAATCTAAACTAATGTTTAATACTCAGAATATATTAAATAATTTTTTTTTTTTTTGGTGAGTCTTAACATGAACACAACACGAGTAACAATAACACGACATCAATAATACGACATGCGGGTCACACGAATACGACACGATTGACACTTTTAGTTTCAAGCAAGAACCCACCTACAAAGGTGATTAGTCACTAAAGAGAATAAGAAGAAATAGAACTTAATACCTCTAAATTATTAAATGCCAATCTCAATCAAGGAACGGAACGACCCTAAGGATTAGTTGGTTTTAATTTCAGAGAACATATCAAGTTACAGAAAGGGAAGGTGAGTGGATTCTGGCCCCCCAATTCGTGGTCCAACTTGGAAACAGGCCTGAACCAGGTCCATGCCCACCTGCCACATTAGGCCCAAATCCACCACTGCTTCATTTAAGCAGGTCCAGCGTCGTACACAAAGTGACCGGTCAGTCCCTACTCATTCAACAGATTGCATACAACTTTATATGAGGTACGATGCTGATAGCCCATATAGAGAGATAACTGAAGGTGGCCCAGATAGGCGTTGCCGTTGCTAATGTATTCCCTTTTCTGAAAGCTTACTGTTTCCATGAAGGGAAGAAGAAGGCCTCACTCACCTCACCACCACCAAAACTATGGATAGCACAAGGTATTTATTGCTGCGACTGGACAAGTCACAAAACCACAAACATCAATAATTTTTTTGACATAGAACAAGGGAATCTTTCTTCCACCACCCTCTTTCTTCGGTCATGCAAATTGTAGCATTCCCATTAAACCATTCACTCGTATTAATTGATCCTTTCACATTGTATGTGTGTGTGTGTGTGTGTGTCCTTATTTACTGGACTTGACTCCAGAAAAGGACACCTCCATGTGCCCAACACTGCGTGTCCTTTACTTGCCATTACAAACTCGTACCCGCATGCCCTCTTGATTCCGTTTCCCCCCTCTCATCATCGCGAGAACAACTTCCTAACCTCTTTCGGAACCCTTTTATTTTATTATTTTTTAATTTTTTTTCTTATATATTTTTTTATGTAATTTAATTAACTTTTTTATTTTTGGGTTGCCCACAAATTCATGATCAATAATGCTAAGGGAGTTTTTTGGTTCAACAATTAGGGATGTCTAGGTCAACTTATACGTATTTCGACTAATCTCTTATCCGATTTGATCAAAAGCAGACCATTCACACTTAGGACATCCGTAAATGATTGTTTAAATTCAAACTTAGGACATCTGTGTTTACAACTCATTTATGTTACCACCTATACTATACTATCGAGAGATTAAGAGAGTTTTTTCCTGTTCACGAGATTCTATCCAAGTACATCTATCCCATACAAAAATGTACAAATTGCCATGTTGGGTCACATAAAGTTGAAGTTAATGGACTACTAAAAAAAATAAAAATTGACCACTACAAGTGGCAAAGAATAGACAATTTTAATGCACAAAAACTGCGTCAACATACATTATTATGTGACATAATATTAATCTGTTGCAAAAAGCCTAATACTAAAATGTTCCCATGCTTTCTGCACCTCCATTAGGTTGAAAAAATGCAGCAGCAAAAAATCAGTGTCCTAGTGTAGATAGCATGAAAGACCAAAGTTTCATATTCTTTCAGCTTGATCTAATTAGTCCCCACCAAGAAACAAAGAAAGTTGAGACACACAGGGATTTAGGTTTTAAATCTTCTGTTTTTTTGAATTTGGATCGTCAAATATATTATTACATTCTTGTTGGAATAGCATCTCTAGGCATATGAAGTCATCATAATTGGAGCACCCACAACCTGATTAACCTCATCTGGTGGCCTCTTGGTACTAACAGGTGTTTAGCTACATGAGATTCAGCTCGTACAACACAGATCAAAATTGAGCAAGCAGGGTGTGGGAACATAAAAGAGGCCACCAAGTCATTAGTTGGCATTGGACGTCTACTTAAATTATTGCAGGCTGCTGGACACACATTCATGTCAAAGTAAAGAAGAGTTAGGACAGAGAAGAGTCGGTGCTTGCAAATAGACGTCCATTTTACCGACTTGCTCAAAAAGTAAAATCAGCCGCAAATAATGGCAAATGTTATTGCGATGGAGTGATGACAAATTCACACTACAGGAGTCAAAGTTGATATGCCCAGGATAAATTCATATCAGTATGCCTGATTGAGAAACACAACAAGAACGAAAGTGACTGCAACAACACTACATAAAAGCAAAAGGGAAGAGAAACCACCCATGCATGCATTGATTGATTGTTATGGAAAATCAAAACAATTATACCAAAGAATTCCCAAATAGCTTATCTGATTACGAGAGGAATGTTATTTTGACTCATCCATGTTTTGCCTTCTCTCTGTCTGTGTTGTGAAGGCAGCACCCTCCAAGACAAATATGTTTGCATGCAAACAAGTATTATGTCCTCAAACCATGTTTAACATAAATCACTTTCGAGTTAAAAATAAACTGTGACAGAGTACCCAGCAGAGTATTTCTCGTCCGCACGCTGGCAAGCGAGCTTCAAAGAAACCAAAAATCTTCTTTCAGACTTAGATGGAAACACTACATATCCAATTTACGACAGGGAAGATCAGAAGAGTGAAGGTTATTTATAGGTACGCAGATGTATAGTTCAATCTATCTACACTCATTGCAAAACTGCATAGAATAGAACGAAGATTCCCCAAAATTAATGTCAATAGAGGCAGTCGGAAACTGTACAAGTTTCCTGAAAGCTGACAATAGAGTTTCAGATTCAAAAATGTTAAACCATAGGTGGGGCAAGCTCTTCTATTCTGGTTCATAGTTTCTCTTGGCTATATGATTCATTAGGGGGAGAGATCGAGCTTCAAGAAATAGTGAACGGTCTAATCAATACACAAATGTATAACTCCCCATGAATTTCAATTGCGCTCATATTCATTGCTGTAGGAATTGGGTTCAAGTTTTCCCAGCCCCTTCTCATCAATGGAGCCCTGACATATACAAGGAGTGCGGTTCATTTGATAAATTCCTACCTCTCTATCTATCTCTAAGATGTTTAGATTTTTCAAAACTCCATGGACATGCAGAAGAGAAATTTGTTTGGATTCCCCACTCGGACCAAGACAAGTTATGCCACTCAAATTTGTTAAAATTCCTAGACTATGAAGCAGACATAGATCATTCAGTAAGAAAGCGGTGGGTTTAAATATCCAAATTTGGGGAAAAAAATGCAATTGATCAAAAGCTGTAGCATGCAGATGTGGTAGTCAGTGGACAATTTGTATGCATAACGCAGTCACAAACACAGAAAAAAGTGAACAATGAGCAGACTATCAGATGTGAACAATGAGCAGTTCTCTTGGTGCCCCAACAGAAAAATTTCTCTGATAAATTACCATCCTGACTGAATCCAAGTGAAAATAGATCAAGCATGACATATAAATCTGAGTTTATTTCCATAAAGAAGCTCATCAGCACGCCATCCAGACCAAAGAGAAGAAAATAAATATAGGATTGCCTCACACTATAATTACCACACCTTTGAAAATAAACAAGAACTGAAGCCCAATTCCAAACTATTTGGCCCTGCACAGTTCCACCTGCACATTCCAGACCACAAGCAGCTCTATAATAATAACAATAATATATAAAGCTTTATGATTTATAGGGAAAAAAATTGCGTCAAAAAAGAACACACCCGAAGCACCTGTATTTGGAGACTTGGATGCAGCTGTGGTGGACAGCAGAAGATGGGGCCTCCAGTACCTACTGAATTCTCACCTTCTCTCTCTCTCTCTCCCTCCCTTCGCTTTTGCAATTGTACAACACAGAAACCATTTACCCAAAATCCCAGCTTCTCAAAATTGAAACTTACTTTCATTCTCTTCCCAAATATTGAATATAATACCTAAATAGTCTACTCTTCGGACTCTTGGGAATCATCCTTGGAAGATGGTTGCTGCTGATGCTGATGTTGATGTTGATGTTGATGCTGCTGATGTTGTTGTTGTTGTTGTTGTTGTTGTTGTTGTTGTTGTTGCTGCTGCTGTTGCTGTTGCATTCTAGCCTGCCCGATCTGCTGGTAAATCTGGCTAAAGGCTTGAGGATTCAAAACCCCAATATGGCCATCTTGTGAGAGCCCAAGCTCCAATCCTGGAAGTTGTTGATTACCAGCACCCAAAATTGAGGTAAAACTCATAGGACCCAGATTAGTGGCTGGCAAGTCAAACCCAGGAAACCCAATTTTTTGGAAGTAATTAGAACTTTCATTGCCCAAATTGGTTGTTGATGGACCAGACGATGATGATGATGACTGAAACCCAAAACCACTGACCACAGAAGCAGTAGGGGGCCATAGCCCTGATGCTGTGGCCATATGGGGTCTCCCCAAATTCCCACCAACCATTGGCCAACTGGTCCTACTACTACTACCACCGCCTGACCCTCCCATATGTGCACCCAATTCATCGATCTTCTGATGCAATCCAGCTGATAGAGAGCACCCCTGCTGTGAAACAGAGCCCCCTGTTGCTGCGAAGGCTGAAGCCGGCATGGTCCCAGTCCCCGTGGCCGCGATTATGGAAGGCTCAGCCTGTTGTAACAGCCACTGAATGGTCTCACCATCAGATTTGTGACCCAATTCTCTTGTCAATTGAAAAATTCTCGCAGCACAGAGAGCTGGCATCCTTATTCTCCTTCCTCTGCCTTCGACTTTGGTGTGCCTGTCTTTGTTTGAGCTTCTCTTGGGGGCTAATTGCTGTTTCTTGCCTTCATCTTTATCTGCAATCACAATCTGGAAGTCTTTGATCTCTGCTGGCTTGTTCTCACCCATGTTGGTGGTGGTGGTGGTGGTGGTGGTGGTGGTGTTTGGGTTTAGGTTTGGTTGTGAGAAGCTCAAGAAGCTTGGCACTTCCTGTGGCTGCTTTGAGCCCTTGGGATCCATGAGAGGCGTGTCTATAATAAAAAAAAAATATAAAGAAAAGGGTATGTGTGTGTGTCTTCTCCTTGATTGATGAAGGTGACATAAAAAAAAAACAGAAAAAAATGTCCTATTCTTTCATAAGTTCTCGCTGTTTTTGGCATGGAATGTGAAAGATAAAAAGTAAATATTGAAATCCCATGAAGATTGTACCTTTGTCAATAATTTTAAAGGGTTTATTAATGTCATTTCTCTCTCTCTCTCTCTCTCATCATTGCCCTTTTTCACTGTTGAGGGTTTGACTAGTTTTGCTTTGACATACTCTCGCCAAGTTTTTTACTGCAAATTTCACCACCTCAGACAGACAATGCATTGAAACCCATATATTCCCACAGTCCATGGATTCCTCCCTAGTAATTTCTCTACCCTGCATTGTATTATTGCAATAGCAGCATATGATGCCTTCTCTTGTAAGGGACTCAAGTGCCCATGTGGAGGATTTTGATGAGGACATCTGGCAGGAAATGAATGGATGTGGGGTTGCTTTTAACCCACTCACCCTATACCCCCTATCCTTAAAAATGTATTAAAAAAATATCATAAAAGAAGATGGAATAATAAATAATAATATCAGCAACAAGAATAGATGGCCCAGAGAAGGAGGTGTTCAGTTCAGTTGCAGAAGAAGGAAGTTTTTGTTGGCAGTTACTATCTTGGTGGGGTCCTAAATTCCCGGAGTCCTGGACACAATAGTCTGAAACAGTTCCTGGGCCATGTTCTGAAACCCCTTCTTTCATGTTTTTGTGAATTGTATGCAGTCCGATGCACTAGACTTTGCTCAGTGAAAGTGAGCATAAATTTTGCACAAAAAGCACCAAAATGGAATTACTCTGATTTTACATACAGCAATTCTCCTTTTTTTATCCCCCTTTGGGGGTCCTCTTTTTTTTCCTAAGGTGCTAGGATTTGAAACATTATACTCCTCCAGTCATGTCATGATCGTGCACGTTTTAGAAACGACATTACCCTTTTTTACTCACGCGATATTGTTCAGGCTTTCTAGAGTATTTCTTATACGGCTAAATAAAGCCCCATACATTTCTCATTGCTGACTTAAACACACCCTTCCATACAACAAGGTCACATGGCAAATGTCATTCGACATTACCTGAGCCATCACAAGTTAATAAATAATTGAATTGAGAGAGAGAGAGAGAGAGAGAGAGAGAGCTATGCTTTGTTTAATGGTAACGAAACAATCACCCAAGTACAGTTGTCAACGCAATTATAAATGAAAGAGAAGTAATGAAAGTTTTGAGTGGACAATAATAAACGGCACAGGAAAATGACATGAAGTCCCCTTGAATTACTCCGATGACAAAGATGCCCAATTTCTTTAGAGAGTCGTTGTGCGAGCGACCCCTCCAAGTAGATGAGAGAATAATTGTGATTGAGGTAGGTGGCTGAGTATGTGTGTGGTTCTATCATACATAACTTACGACATCATATTAATAGAAAACCAATCTGACGAGGGAGCATGATTCACAAAACCTATTAACAAAGGAAATCTTTGCATTGATGACAGGGTTGCATTTCAATGATTCTTACATGCGTGGTGTGGCAAAGAGAGGTGGTACGATTGAAATTTGAAACCCAAGGATCCTATGGGTGTGCTTTTTAATCTCTCAAGTTTTTTCTTGATTTTTGAGTTTTTTTTTTTTTTTTGATTTGTGGGTACAATGAAGTTTTGAGCTTTGAAAAATCATGTTTTTGTATTGTAAGTACAAGTTCAAGAGAAGATTGAAATACCGAGAGATAAGTTGAGTAGATTTTTTGTTCCGGAGGAAGAGAGAAAAAGAGAGTTTTTACGTATATAAGCAGATGAGTGATTTACAAGTTTTAGATTGCCGTAACAATTCAGAATCAAAGAAAACTAGTTGTAAGAATGAATTAGTTGGGAAAATTAGTCAAGAGTTGCTTTTACTATCAATTTTCAAAAGTAAGCAAATTGATATGATTAGTGTCCCCACTTTTAAATATAGAAGTATTTCAATCAAAGCTGTAGGGAGGAGAAGTGAAGTGAATTAGTCATACATTAAGGAAAAGCTTCCATGACAGAAACACACAAAATTCCAATACTCCCAAGATCAGACTAACACATGTCTATGCCAGCAATCAAGGTTAAAAGTAAGCTAGTGTATCAGATAGACTTCGCCATTGCATGGAAAATCCCTGCAGTTCCTAGTCACTATAGTGGACATATCCATATATATATATATATACTTTTTTTCCCCCTCTTCCTTTGTAGTTTTCTGCTTTTCTTTTATTATTCAACCAACTTGATTACTCTGGAACTTTAGGGTTTTGTACACACAACAGAATAGGTGAGAACATGCCTTTTTTCTTATTTATTTTAGCTTTATAATGATGCAAAGAAGACTCATTGATAGTTCTGTTCTGATCATAATGGTGGGAGAGGCTATGTGTATGCTGGTGATTGCATTGCTAGTCACATATGCTTCCCATCTAGGTGACAAAGGAGGCCCCTCTTTCAAACCTAGCTGTTGAAATAACATCCAATACTTCAAGAAACTCAACTTCAAAGAAGAAAATCTCGCTTTCACATGTATTATAGTTCATACTTCCATTGGTCATGTGGAGTAGGTTTGCCAAACAGTTCGACAGTTCAGTTCACTTCAAATTTGGTTCCATTTATAATTTTTTTCTTTGGTTACAGGAGACAAGGGTAATGAGCCCTTAAGAGATGCAGAAAATATCGAACTTAAGACCTCCTATTTACAAGAAGATAGACTTGACCATCTTAAAGGTTAAATTCCATTTATAATGTAAAACGAATTAAATCGGATCAGATTTATGAGCTTGTTATCTGAACAAATCGAACCCAATATCTCAATAAATACTTGCATGATAAATCTATATGTGCCTGTCGGTAAGATAACCCATTGGAATGGATGGTTTGTATTGATCGTATACCAATTGAGCGGTCACAATCTCAGCCCATGTGCTCGATATGCAACCCTTTCCTATGTCGTTGCTTAGGGATAGCTTTGGATAATTCAATTTCCATTTTAAGCTTTGAAAAAAAATAAAAAGAATCTTATGAAATTAATGTGTAAAAATCTAAAGAAATACCCAGACAAGTGGCATAAGTTGTACAAAAGCAGCAGTTATACCCCCTGTTCCATGCCAAATGGTTGAGAGGCTGAATGTCAATGTCTATATGGTAAGAAAACCTCGGACACCATTTCCTTTCGACAGAGATACACACAAATATGGTACAATGATAAATCGTATAGAGCATATTTACAGATCCCAACAACATCGGAATTCAGAAGAACGAGTAATTAACACACAAGTTTGCCGGCTCAGCTACTTATAGAAGGCCTAAAGTACATACAGATGGGTGGATCGATCCTCAAAATGGATAGGATTGCTGACGGTATTGTCCAGATCCCATCACCACAAATTAAACCTGAAGCAACTGCCCCTGCATAATCTTCTGCATCTTTCCTATTAATTCGTTCCCACACGAACAATATCACAGTCCCAACAAACATGTCAATTGCAAAGTAAGCTCCAATATAAAATGGTACAGCCATTGCCATTGGAATAGGTATAAACTGGGAAACTTTTGTAGGTGTCACATCCCTCAGAAAGTTTACAGCCAGAGCTGCCACAAAGAACCCACAACATAGGGCCAGGCAATGCTTTGGCAGCTCAGAGAAGCCCTCAACTCCGAGAATGGCCATCTCCCTGTAGATGACAGCATATGGCGCTTTATACGGACTATCAGGGGACCCAACTTCAAATGCACTCCAAAACAACCAAAAAGTGAGGGGTGCAATGACACAACCCATGGCTGTTCCAACTAACTGGCTCACAAACATGGACTTGGCTGATGATAGAGTGAGGTAACCTGTCTTAAAATCTTGCATTAGATCAGCCGCAGTCGACACAATGGACATCATAACCCCACAAGCTGCCAACCCAGCTAGAACTCCACCATTGCTTCCAACCAATGAAGCAAGGATGAAAAGACCAATTTTTCCATAAGTTGAGGCCAAACTCCAGTCTGTGAGCCCGGTTCCATAAGAGTTGCAGAAGGCAAGAGCGGGGGCCATAATATAGGAGCATAGGACCAAATACCACTTAAGCGGCGAAAAGATCATTGGTAATGTAATTGTAGATATTGCAGCCAGGCCCACGTATCCACAACCTGCAAACCAGGTAGGTATACTGTCTTTCAAGAAAACAGCATCTCGTTTTCTCTGCTCTAATTGTAATTTGGAACTCTCACTATCTGTCAAAGCACAAACACAGGAAGTCATCATACATCACATGCAAGAGAGTAAGAAACATGTACATTGGTGCAGGCATGTTGCCCTCAGAGTTCATACACAGGATTTCAGCGTATATCACATGTAAGAGAGTAAGAAACATGATTCACATGAACATCAGTACACAAATATTGCCCTTAGATATTCATAGTCTATAACAAAATGGTGCAGCATATAAAACAATGTTTCCAGTTTATTTGGGATAGAGTTAAATATAGGGTCATATCAAGATATTCATTACTAGATGGAACACGTAATTTAAACCAGTATAACGTTGCAGAATGTGACAGCATTTCCAGTTAATTATAATAGGGCTTTACTAGGGTTGTATGATGCAATATAACGTGTAATCTAAATAAATATAACCTCTAGTTCATAATTGGAATTATTACAATAAATTTATCTTCGATAACAGATGGGACATATATAATCCACAGACTAAGATGTTTTGCAGATACAACTTCATAATATAACTAAAGTGCATTACTACCGGTGATAGTCAAAATTAAAATGCTGACAACTTTATACTCAATTATGACTACCACCACTAATATAGGGATCCCAACATAATTTATCGTTACTATGTAAACAATTAACGCTGCTGTATCACATTGTGTGAAGTCTTGTCCACTATCCAATCTAGTAGAGGCGTAGAATTTTCAGCCAGTATCACCATTTGAATGCAAGTTACTTCTTTGTTTCATTTTCTTAAAGTTATGGTATAAGTGTTAAGTACATATTTCAAGACTGAAAATCCATTGTCCATGTGCCCTTTATGTCCAAGCCAACTGATAAAAACCCTTACGAATAACATAGTTTGTGCTCCTGTTTCACATCAAAAAACACAGCTTGTACATCTTCAGCAACTCTAAGCTAATAATGATTACAATTACGCATCTTCTTTAGATTTCCATATAGGCAAAGTTATTGAGGAGCTTTGATGGTAAACGCTATGAGTGGCAGGCATGAAGACACCAAGCAAATCCTTGCTAAAGTTAAAGAAGCATATAGAGCAAATAAAACGAAAGCAATATCAAGTAAACTGTAAATGTCAAAATGAAGGTATGATTGCAACAAAATTTATTTTCAGTCGTAAAACAAAATGACTTAATTTCACATGGACACGCATTATCCAAGGTCTTGGAATTCCTAATACTCACCTAGGCAATCTTTTACAACTGGAAGATTATTTTGTTTGGTACTGTTGCTGCAAATTTCCTTAACAGTTATCCCTATTATCTTAATCAAATTGTAAAGGCCATCACCAAGAATAAGGGAAATGGCTATGAAGACCTGCAAACATAGTAATAAATGGCACAATATGTACATTAGTGAATAAGAAGGTTAAACAAAGAGCACTCTTCACCATAGAATAGTAGGAGAAGAGCAATTTAAAATAACGACTTTTGCTTGAGCAGCGTCAAAGCCCCAAAGAAAAGGTGGGGGCGAGAAAATAAAATAGTAATGGCAAAAGTTTTATCACATACAAGCGGATAAGACACTTCTAATGACAAACTTCAATATAGAAGGTTTCACTAGAGGAAGGTATAATCTCAACATATCCTACATATTTGGTATGACCAATGATGAATTTGACTTACTGCGCACTACAATGCAATTATTAGTGTAAAGGTGTCAATCATGAGTCTCCAACAATGTGGCTACAAAGAACACAGACCTTCGGCTTTCAACTTCAGTTCAAATCATTTGAACATAGAAAATCAAAAATATCTTTTATTGGGGGGTTGATCTCCTGATTCCTAGAGAACATCCACCAGTGCAGTCCTTAATGCATTAAGAAAGTGCCATCAGAAAGCTAGAGTTTTTGAATGACAATCAAGTACAAGATGAAAGACACTATAAAAATATACTTACCAAAAAAAAGAAAGACACAATGAAAATATGTGGCAACTAAACTGATCAAAGGAAGAATTAAAAAATGGCAGGTGCAAATAATTAGGTATGAGAGTCCACTACATAACGTGGGCCAAGCATTATATCTGTACCTCTTATTTTGCTATTGATGGGCATGACAACCATTGAGCTGCAAAAGCCGTTAATGTTTCTCAAGTTTCTTAGTTGAAACCAATAATTCTTACCTTATATCCGTAGAGACCTTTAAAATCATTGCTACCAAGGTCAGCTGGATACCAATCCCCAGCACGTTGAGAAATGAAGGGCCACAGGAAACCCCATGATATGATTGCTCCAAGAAGGACAGAACAATTGACTATATGAGGGCAAATAAGACCACATCCAACATAAGTTGGACTAAAGTCAAAATAGAACCTGCAAGGAGTAGCGTAAAAACCAGAACATTACAAATCCAAATCGACTACTTTTTCAGCAAGTTTCTGATGCATAGAGTTTTGTCATAACACTACGCTTTTAATATTACTGTACAGTCCATGTGCTCCAACTTATATTTGATAATGAGCAGTAAGGATTACCGACTAACTCTCACATCCACATACAGATGAACTCTCAATATCTGCTTGCATGGTGGTCACAGGATTGAGTATTCAGACCATGCAGTTACTCAATTTAATTACATATTATACTCAAACAAAATACAAAAATCGAACAAGGAGAGGTACAGATATGAATTATCAAGTCCACCTTGCCACAGGTGCACAGTTAGTCATCAAAGATAACATAACAACACCAAGGAATGGGCTTCGTACCCTATGTGCATGCTTCTTAATTCACCACTTGTGCATATGTATGTATAATTTGGTGGCTAATGACTATGACAACAAAGCCTTCATTCTGCCCATATTCCAGATGATTAACAGTGAACATCACAGGAAAGGATTTAAAACATAAACGTTACAATAGTAGCACATCACCCANAAAATATCTTTTATTGGGGGGTTGATCTCCTGATTCCTAGAGAACATCCACCAGTGCAGTCCTTAATGCATTAAGAAAGTGCCATCAGAAAGCTAGAGTTTTTGAATGACAATCAAGTACAAGATGAAAGACACTATAAAAATATACTTACCAAAAAAAAGAAAGACACAATGAAAATATGTGGCAACTAAACTGATCAAAGGAAGAATTAAAAAATGGCAGGTGCAAATAATTAGGTATGAGAGTCCACTACATAACGTGGGCCAAGCATTATATCTGTACCTCTTATTTTGCTATTGATGGGCATGACAACCATTGAGCTGCAAAAGCCGTTAATGTTTCTCAAGTTTCTTAGTTGAAACCAATAATTCTTACCTTATATCCGTAGAGACCTTTAAAATCATTGCTACCAAGGTCAGCTGGATACCAATCCCCAGCACGTTGAGAAATGAAGGGCCACAGGAAACCCCATGATATGATTGCTCCAAGAAGGACAGAACAATTGACTATATGAGGGCAAATAAGACCACATCCAACATAAGTTGGACTAAAGTCAAAATAGAACCTGCAAGGAGTAGCGTAAAAACCAGAACATTACAAATCCAAATCGACTACTTTTTCAGCAAGTTTCTGATGCATAGAGTTTTGTCATAACACTACGCTTTTAATATTACTGTACAGTCCATGTGCTCCAACTTATATTTGATAATGAGCAGTAAGGATTACCGACTAACTCTCACATCCACATACAGATGAACTCTCAATATCTGCTTGCATGGTGGTCACAGGATTGAGTATTCAGACCATGCAGTTACTCAATTTAATTACATATTATACTCAAACAAAATACAAAAATCGAACAAGGAGAGGTACAGATATGAATTATCAAGTCCACCTTGCCACAGGTGCACAGTTAGTCATCAAAGATAACATAACAACACCAAGGAATGGGCTTCGTACCCTATGTGCATGCTTCTTAATTCACCACTTGTGCATATGTATGTATAATTTGGTGGCTAATGACTATGACAACAAAGCCTTCATTCTGCCCATATTCCAGATGATTAACAGTGAACATCACAGGAAAGGATTTAAAACATAAACGTTACAATAGTAGCACATCACCCATAAAGCTGCAGCTTCAACCAACACACATTCCCCCTCAGAGAGAGAGAGAGAGAGAGATTTGGGGGAGTTAGTTTGGTGAGCATAATATTTGATAGCATCAGAGTGGAGAGTGAAGTAAGACTGAAGCAAAAGAAGCTTACGTGTTCTTGAAGAGTGTCAGGCCGAAACTTGGAAAATTGTCAAATCCGCATGAATCCCCAATGCCACTGAAGAACCACTTAAAGCAGCTCCAAAAAAAGCTAATGCTCAAATACTTTCCAAGAGAACTCACTTGTTTCCTAGGGCAATAGGAACAGGGAAATAGACAATTTTGAGATATACTTTAAAAGTAAGCAGTTACAAAATAAAAAAGAAAATCATTGAAAAGGCAAAAAGAACAGATACCCTAAAACTAACACTAAAACACAAATGATCTATCAGTCTGTTTCACAAATATGACAAACACCAACTTCATGAAAAAATAGACACAGCCTAAGAAGTAAATGAAACAAGCAGGAATAACCTGTCTATTTATGCTTCATTCGCAAATTTATTAATGATCAAATTCAACTAAATATAAAATCATGGTAGGAAACAAGTCTCTCAACTGGAATTCTATTGAATCTCTCATTCCTTTTCAGAAATACTCGACTGCCAAGCTATGGTAGCAGAGTTCGTTAAGTGCTACCATGACATGTTTAGGGAGAGGAGGGATTACGTGTACAAAACTCATCTGACAAAAAAAAATAGAAATAATGTTGATCAAGATTCTCGGATAGTGTCAGCACTTCCAATTCTCTTAAGGCCTCTTGTGGCTGACCAAAAATAGCAAAATTTTTGGAAAGCATCATTAATATTTCATTAAAGACAACTCTTAAACACATTACAGTGATTCTAACAAAACTATTGCATCTTCATCCATCCTACGTGCATTAGTTTCTATTTTGCAAACACTAGGTAGCTGTCTCTAAATGGGTTGCTTCTTCAGCAACAAGATTTACAAAAAATTGAAGAGACTTGTACATGGGCCATATACCTTGCAAGTTCAGCACCAGTATTTGTGTGGAAACTATTGATCAGCATTGCTGTGGCAGTTCCACTGGGGAATGTAAGCTTATAATCCATGACCATAACCTCAAATCACACACAAGTAGTAAGCAAGAAACAGAAAATAAAACTAGAAATGCCAACCACTGTTGTCAAAAGATTTGTTAAGACTCAATACCAGCAACATATCTAACAGCTAAGAAGACTCTTACATCATCCAATTAGTAACAGTAAATGACAAGAATTTTCAAAAATGATTGCCTAAAGTAAATTTCATGAACATAACAGCTGCCAACCCAGATAATACATCTGTTTATGAAGTCCACGTTAAATCCCCATAGTTCAACTTTTTCACAAGTACTGAGCCAAAACAACTTGAAGTAAATAAAAATTTGGCCATTGCCTTTTGACAAGAAAGGACAAATCGACCACATCAGAGGCTGTACAAAATATCTTTTACACATATTTTGCAAGCGAAAGGGTGAAAGTATACAACATCAGGAGGTACCTTACGGAGCGGAACAAGGCTAAAAAGGCCAAGGAAACTAACAACAAATATGAAACCAGTCATCCACAACAAGCCAGGGTTCTTAACGTCTTCTGCCCGGTTACCAGGGTAATCCTCACCAATCAGTTTGTATGTTCTCTCGTCCATGGAAAGCAAATATGAACCAAACCCCCCTGTCAACATAGAGATGCAGATGAATTCCAATGTAATTGGGAAATATATTGATCACAAGATAGTTAAAATATAACTATAATGAATGAGAAATGCTACACATGCCTATATAAAACAAAAATCAGCACAATAAAAGGACCTCCTTGCTAGTGACGGTGAGAAGGAAGAATTTGTTTGGAATAAATTTTATAGATTTAGACCATTTACAAGGATAGAGCACTTACATGCCTCTCAAAAAGAGGGAGCTCCTCATAATGCTGAAGACATTCCCAAAAACACAAGGCTTCTCTCATTGGCACTAATTTTTGTTTGGCATAATAAGTAGATTTTAAAGTGCTAGAACTCTCGTAAGCCCAATATTTCAAACACAATACCCTACTGGTTCAGACAGATATGAGATTCTGTAGATTGGGTGTGCAAGCGATTGAATTAGAGACTAAGGTTGACTCTAAGGTTCTTTCTTAACGCCTTGAGCCGAAAGACTTAATATTCCACCACTCAGCGAAGTGTGGAAACCAGTAACAATGAGGGGATACCCAAGCTATACTTCTATTGCAATGAACAAGAGTTATGTACAAGCTAGATAACGAAATGCAAGTAAATACAACAAGAAAAACTAGATTGTGCAGCAAGCCTAATCTTTGGAGAATCAAATTCTTGAGTAATGAACTATTGCTTGAGGAGGCAGTTAATATGTTGAGAAGCTTTTGATTTGTAAGGATGCTGGATCCCTGTCCTTTTCTGAGTTACTAATATTTATAGGGGTATGCAATAGCCACTGGTTCGTAACTCTCAGCCCTGTCGCCCATGTCCCTCTAATTGGTGGTTCATGCTTTTACTGACCTTCGCTTGAGTTACTAGTTGTTTACACCAAAAATCTACATTCATAAGATAACAGGCACTTTATGTGCAGTCAGAAAGAGGATGTACGGGATCAAGGAATAAATCAGAACAGTCCCCGCATTCCATAACTGATGTAAACTGTTTTGGCCACTCCGTACAGTTACTAGTTTCAATCCTATTCTTCTGTGGCCATGTTCCTGCACATAAAGTGCCTGTTTATTGCCTGCATAACCATCCCTGCTCCGACTGCTCTGATTTAATCCTTGATCCCGTACATCCTCGCTCTGACTGCACATAAAGTGCCTGTTATCTTATGAATGTAGATTTTTGGTGTAAACAACTAGTAACTCAACGAATACATTAACTACCCATAACTAGCTAGTGTATCCTACAATTAAGTACCCTTAAGTTTGTCAATCCATCGGACTGACATCCCACTCACTCCTCTACTGCAGTCACTATATTCCATATAAAACAAAAAGGTCCGCAACAATAAGTAGCTTTCATACACTTTAACCATGGAACATAATATTCATTCAACATCACCGACAACATGGCTTCAACGTTAACAAAGGTCATAATCAAAATTGCCCTTCAAGTATTCACATTAAAATTACTGCAAGTACCAATTACCATCAGCTACCAAACCGTTAACTCATTTACGACCCCTTCTCTAATTTTTCCAAAAATATTATAACCTTGACAGTCACTGAAAAATGTTTTAGAATTTTATAAGTGCAGTACTAGTGTATGGGAAGCGTAAATGGCTTATTTTCGAATAACACAAATCAGTTTCCAACAATCAGACGAAAGGGCACATTACCGCTAAAAGCGAGGCCATAACAAGCGACGACGCAGGTCTGAATCACAGTGTTTTCCTGTCTGGTGAAGGGCTGCACCGAAAACCCTAATTTGGATAAAAAGCTGGTCCAGGACTTGACGAAGAAGAAGCCTAGCAATCCAGCGGCGACATTTAGGGAAGGAATAATGCCGACCGTGAGATTGAGCTTGTGGGTGATTATACAGAAGAGTGTCCCCAACAGAGCACTCGCCACCAAACCTCTGATCGTGATCTGATCTTCCCAACCTGGAATTATCTCCTCGCATTCAACGTCGCTGATCTTCTCAGCTTCATTTAGCAAAGGCTCTGAAATCTCTACGCCTGAGGTATTCTCAGTCCCCATTACAACTTCTTCAATGCAAATCTTTGGGGTTTCGGTTTCACCTTTCAGACCTCGGTTCTTCGTGTTATTTTGGGGGTTGGGATCTACAGAGGCATTGTCTAAAGGTGGTTGGGATTCTTGGGAAAGTCAATGATGACGTGGTGGGTGGTAACTTGAACAAATGGGATACAGCCATCTTCCTCCTCTTCTCTTGCGGTTATGTTAAGGATGAAATTACGTTGATCGCTTTTCCAAAATAGTAGTCTGATGCCAACAATGGGACCCACGCTTGTGGGGCCAAAATAGTAGTCTGGCAGGAAAAAATCAAAATAAATAAAATTAGGTTTAGTCCCTGGTAGGTATTGAGACTGATTATGTATGACATAGTTGAATGGTTTTGAGTTTTGGAGATATATTTATTAGTATATCGTTATATCACGCGATATTATTGATATGGTGTAATGGTTACACTAAATAATTTTTTTAAGACTTGTATAAAAATATATTCAATATTAACACAAATTTTTATTCAAATTTAAATCAAATAAAAAAATAATTTGATACACGGGTTTTCAAGGAATAATTTTAAATTAAAAAAATAAAATATATAAATTTAAAGATGAGTGAAATAACATCATTAAATTTAAAACAAAAAATCATTAGCAAGTGCAAGATTAATTTAATCCTATCCTTTGTAGTTAGTTTGACAAGCCCATCCACTCGATCACTTAGGCAAGGTCATTAAATTGGGTACCTAAGATCCCGAAATGAAAAGCCCCAATGAAAAGGCCCTCTAATTCATGACAAGTTTGTTGTCGTCGTCGTTGTCCCACCACAAACTTTGGAAAAAGGAGTAAGAGATCTCCAACAATAATAGCTATTTTAGTTATTCAAAAAATAATTTTTTCTATTTTAGCTACTCATTTTTTTAATACACACTCGAACAGATTCTCTATATTTTTAACTACTCATTTTAAATATTATTTATCATCCCTTTTGTATTATATTTTTTGGAAATAGTGAAAGGGACAAAGAGATAGAATGAAAGAAATATGAGGAAGAGAGAAAAAATAATATATATATAAATGTTTACATATTACTACAGTGACACTATATTTAGAGTGTCACTGTAGTAAATATGCATTTTACATAATATGAACAACATCTATTGGAGATGAAGTTTTGCTCTAAAATTAGTTAAATTTTAGCTACTTTGCCCATTTAAAGCATCTGTTGGAGACGCTCTAATTGGGCCAAAAAATGTCGGTCATTTTCTATTTTAGAAATATTTTTTGTTCACAAGTATTCTTTTTATCTCAATATGTCAACTAAAAATATGAATTCAAATATCAAAAGCTTAAAAATAAATTAATTAATTCAATCGCAAATTCAAGACATTGATAAGCTTGTTGCAGTAATAAGAATAACAGGACAACAAACTTCAAGCTAAGATTTAGTAATTGGACAATCAATCTCTTTGTCACAAGATGAAAATAACAAAATAGGTGTGCAAAAAAATTGAAGTCATATTATTGCAAAAGGTGTTGATACGGACTATCCACGTAGAAAGCTTACCCTCTTCCACACATTGACGGTGGATGCTACGGTCGCTATAAGTTTGGTTGCTGAAAAGGAATGGTTAAGTCACACTCTCGACGTCTTGTTTAGTAAACGAGATGTTTATCCAGGCGTCATAGTCTTATCTAATCGTCCGATCGGAGATGCCTTTGTATGGTATAACAAGTTGTTTAGCTACTTGTATTGATTTGCCTAGTGTGGTCAAATACAATGCAAATTTTTATTCGAATGAGTTGCCGAGCGAATTGAGCTTTAGGTAGGGCGCGAGCCAGACTGGATTTTGAGTGGGAATAGGTTACCCGTAACCCAACCCACTACTCATTGGGCAAGCTTACAGGACATACTACTTTTATATACAATTTCATTTTAAAATAATGAATATTTTTGTAAACTTAATATTTTTTAAAATTAAAAATAGAGTCAAAATAAATAAGGAACAAATAATGAATAATTTTATTTATAAATAGGGAAGGACTGCATCACAATAGAATGAGCACATTCTAACTAGATTCATATTTACCCATATATCTATCTTTTTTCAAATTTCAAGTATAATGTGTCTAATTTTGTTTTAAAGGAAAGTGTGTGTGTGGGGGGGGGGGGGNGGGGGGGGGGGGGGGGGGGGGGGGGGGGGGGGGGGGGGGGGGGGGGGGGGGGGGGGGGGGGGGGGGGGGGGGGGGGGGGGGGGGGGGGGGGGGGGGGGGGGGGGGGGGGGGGGGGGGGGGGGGGGGGGGGGGGGGGGGGGGGGGGGGGGGGGGGGGGGGGGGGGGGGGGGGGGGGGGGGGGGGGGGGGGGGGGGGGGGGGGGGGGGGGGGGGGGGGGGGGGGGGGGGGGGGGGGGGGGGGGGGGGGGGGGGGGGGGGGGGGGGGGGGGGGGGGGGGGGGGGGGGGGGGGGGGGGGGGGGGGGGGGGGGGGGGGGGGGGGGGGGGGGGGGGGGGGGGGGGGGGGGGGGGGGGGGGGGGGGGGGGGGGGGGGGGGGGGGGGGGGGGGGGGGGGGGGGGGGGGGGGGGGGGGGGGGGGGGGGGGGGGGGGGGGGGGGGGGGGGGGGGGGGGGGGGGGGGGGGGGGGGGGGGGGGGGGGGGGGGGGGGGGGGGGGGGGGGGGGGGGGGGGGGGGGGGGGGGGGGGGGGGGGGGGGGGGGGGGGGGGGGGGGGGGGGGGGGGGGGGGGGGGGGGGGGGGGGGGGGGGGGGGGGGGGGGGGGGGGGGGGGGGGGGGGGGGGGGGGGGGGGGGGGGGGGGGGGGGGGGGGGGGGGGGGGGGGGGGGGGGGGGGGGGGGGGGGGGGGGGGGGGGGGGGGGGGGGGGGGGGGGGGGGGGGGGGGGGGGGGGGGGGGGGGGGGGGGGGGGGGGGGGGGGGGGGGGGGGGGGGGGGGGGGGGGGGGGGGGGGGGGGGGGGGGGGGGGGGGGGGGGGGGGGGGGGGGGGGGGGGGGGGGGGGGGGGGGGGGGGGGGGGGGGGGGGGGGGGGGGGGGGGGGGGGGGGGGGGGGGGGGGGGGGGGGGGGGGGGGGGGGGGGGGGGGGGGGGGGGGGGGGGGGGGGGGGTTGTTTGGACTGGGCTGGGCAAGTTGGTTTTAATGGACATTTTGCGGGTAGGCCATTGGGCCGAGTAATGGATTTAGGATAGGCTCAAGCCTTCTCTTGAAAGATGTTAGACTCGGATTCGGGAGGTTCAACTATCAGGTTTCAGGCCAGGTAACGAGATCCGTGGACAATCCGGCTCATAGACACCCCTATTCATTAACAATTGGGTATTTCATGGAGAAATTTACGGAATCGAAAAAAAAGTTCTGTGTCCTGTACTAATATTACGAGTTCTATGATTTATTTTTATAAATTTAAAGAATTATTTATAACTTTTGATGGTCATTTATGAGTTTTAAGGATCTTTTATAATTTTAAAAATATTTATTAGGATCTACTACATATTTAATGATTACAATTGATTAAGTTATTATTTTAAATTCAAGTAACATTTTTCTTCTTTTATTGTGAGAATTAAGGATATTAATAGGTAAATATTAGTATTTTGTTGGGTTTGTACCAAAAATAATTAGAGTAATATTATTAGAACCTAAAAAAATGATTTAATTTACTGAAATAATAACATAACAATGTCCTAGTCTAATTATATTTTTGTAGATGTTGATGATGTACAAAATGACTTTGCACACCACCTGTCAAGTGAACAGTAATAAATACAATAATTAATGTAAAGAGAGATGAAAGAGACAAGAATTATAATAGTTCGGTCAATCGTGACCTACGTCCACTTTTGAATGGCCTTAGTCGCCGGGTACTTATTAGCTCAAGGGTATGGGGAGCAGAAAGTACAAGTTTTGAGGGAGAAGAGAAAGTCGTGCTCAGGTAAAGTGTGATTCCCCCCAAGTGTTGGCAGGGCGTGCAATTTATAGTGGTCCCCTAACAGATTGGAGCTACTTTATAACAACTAAATGACTACTCTGGTGGAACTCACGATTTCTTCTCAACGGGCGAGGAGATCTCTATGAGATGCGGTCAAAGATAAGGTAAGGATGAACCGTTTCCTTCTGCGGTACAAGTAAGACCCCCATGCTCTCCCTCTTGATGACGTAGTCAAGCAGAGAGTCTGATCGGTCTTGGACTATGTTGAGCTTTGTGGATCTTTTATGAGGTTGGACTCCTCAATTGGGATTTGAACTTTCCCCATAGATTGAGTCATCAACTGTAACTCTTAAACTTTTTTATTTGAATTCTATCACTTAACATATTATTATATTATTTTTTTAGGTCTCAATAGCATTATTGATATAATTAATACGAATTAAAATATTTTTTAAAAATATTATTTGAACTTAAGTTTTTCGTCTTATTTTCACGTAATGAATCATAACCATTTACTTGGTAATGGATCCCAACCAACCAATTCTAACCAAAAGGTGTCCTAGGCATTTATCTGGTCTATATAACAAAATTAAGCGTAATTCACGTCTGAAAGTACGATACAATATAAATAATTTTGAGAAGAATATTTATGACTATTGAATGAGTTTATTTAAAATTATTGAATTAATTTATTAAAGTCTGCTATATTTTATATTATAGATATAAAATATTTCAAATCTCGAAAACATTTTATTTTTTTAAAAAAAATTCCATCTAATTGCTTAAATTAACTACATAAAAAATTTTCCCTGCCCAAACTTTTAAAATTAAACTTTATCCGGACAGCAATTATTTTTCCAGAAAATTCTGTCACGCCAATCTTTCGTCCTTATCCGCCCTTCTCTATCTTCTCCCTTGCCGCCCTATGCAACTCACTGTCACTACTTCACCTTTTCCTTCTGTCCTCACTCGCAGCAACCGACAGCCGCTCGACGCCACAAGCAGCCTCTCGATTCTAGGTACATCTCCTTCTTCTCTTTGCTTATCTCCCTCTTTTCTCTGCTCCTCCCATCCCTCCCCGCAACCCCAACCCACCCCCAAAATCACCAATTTACATCAAGGAACACAACCACCCCATAACTGAACTGGACCAATTGACGATAACCTTCATGATTTTTATTTAGGGTTGAGGTTTGAGGTTTGAGATTTGAGATTTTACATTTTTAATTCTTCAGAAATGGCTCTCAATTTACATG